AATGATGAAAGTGGACTGGACTTGTGGGGGCTGGGTACCTGCACACAGGTAGGGGACAGGCAGTAGGGGCCGGGGCAGCCCTGGGCTCTGAAACATGCAGGCCACTAGCTCCAGCCATGGCAGCCTGGGGCTCTGGCTCTAACCCAGACTTCACTGGCCAGGAAACCGGGAACAATGGCTGGGACTGGTCCCTGCACCGGATCTGCCCAGGGGAGCAGGAAATCGCTTCACCAGCAGGCAGAGGGGCAGCCAGCCTGAGGGACAGAAGCCACCATGCTCTTCTTCTTGTCTGCGCAGAGGCATCCCTGGGCAGAAGCCATTGTAGATGGCCTCCTCTCAGCCTCCAGCCTCCATCCTCACCCCCAGCCCCCTACTCCTCCCTCCCTCCTGTGGAGCAGGCCCCAGATGGGATCATGGGCTCCTCAGGCTGTGGAAATCCACTCAGGACCTCCCAGCCCTCTCCAGAGCCATGCTTGACTGTAACAAGCTCTGCATCCTGTCCCGGGTGGTTTCTTTGTTCCTTGAAGGTCACGCCTCCAGGAAAAGCCTTGGCCACACTGATTTTGGCCAATCTACAAAGATTTGGCCTCAGAATGCTCCATCCGCCTCTGGCCCTAAAAAGGAAGTCAAGGAGAGGGGTGGCGGGTGGGTGGGAAACTGTGGGGTCTCCCTGCCCACAGTGTGTGTGTGTGTGTATCCATCCCCGCCCTGAGTCTGCACCCCTGCCTTTACTGAGCATCTGCTGTTTGCTTTGCGCTGCTGGGCATGAAGCAAAACTTGAAACAAGAACTTCTGATGAAGCAGTTTGGAAGTTTCCATGTATCAAACAGGTAGAGCCAAAAATGTTTAAATGGCTGATATTTAGTACAAAACACTATGTGCAAGAGTCCTCCCTGAACCTCACGCCACCCTTGCCTCAGCTCATGCCCTCACCTCACCCCAGAACCTTCCCTCATTGCCAGCCCCAGGCCATCAGTGGGCACTGGGGATTAGCGGTTCAAGGATGGGTGAGGACCAGCAACCGGGTCAGGGTGTGTTTTGTGTGTTACTTTGTAATAAACACGGCTATCAGTTTGTAAAGAAGCCCTGGTGGTGCCAGGTTAAGCGCTCGGCAGCTAACCAAAACGTCAGCAGTTCAAACCCACCCAGTGGCTCCATGGAAAGAAGACCTGGCCATCTGGTCCCATAAAGATTACAGCCTGAAACACCCTATAGGGCAGTTCTACTCTGTCACAAGGGGTCGCTATAAGTCAAAATCGACATCACTTTGTAATCATTGTTTTCTTTAGTCCAGATCAGTGTTTATGGCAGCCCCAGGCCCCGTTCCTAAGCCCCAGTCCAGTTAGAGGGAGAAGAGGAGCTGGTAAGCGCAGTATTTCCTGAGAGCTCATGTGGCCTAAGGGGCCATAAGTCAGTCCCCTGGAAGAGCTGCAGTCCCTGTCTTCCTTGTCTTAGGGAAGGGCAGGGGGAGAAGAGAGGACTTGAGGAAGGCCTGCCAAGAAGAAAGGGGGTGGGTTGGGAATAGTGTAGGAAGAGATACGAAAAATATTGCAGGTAGAAGGAAGGCTTTGATCAAAGGTTTCGAAGTGGACAAGAACCTGGGGTGTTTCCGAGACAGCAAGAAGGCTGGTGGTAGGGTTTGTGTTGGGGTAAACGGTTGGGGCCCAGAGCCAGGGCAGTGGGTTGGAGTCAGGCCAGGAAGGCATGGGGGCCACGTGGAGGCTGGGCTGTCCCCAAGGTCATGGCTACAGGTAAGATTTCTGATGTAATCTATTTGTGATGGGCAGAGTTCCTGGAGGCTAAGGGGAAGCCTAGGCCTCTAAGCTCTGATCAGATGCCGCCAACCCCAGGAAGTCCCCTCGGGTTTCCCTCCCACTCTTGGCTTGCATCTCTCTCACAGCAGGAGTCAGTAGAGTACAGTGGACATGAGTGAGCACAGGCCCAGGATCAGGCAGGCTGGCTTCCATTCCCAGCTCTGCCAACCACCAGCTGTGTGATCTTGGGCCAGTCACTTAACCTCTCTGAGTCCATCTCAACAGCTGTAAAATGGGTCTAAAATTACCCACCTCGTGGCATGGCCTGCAAAGTGCTTAATACATTGCCTTGCACTTAAAAAATAAGAAGTGTGCACTAAACCAGGCTTGTTTATCCCCATCTACTCTGCAATTCCTTTATTCTTAGGCTCACATTTTTATGTTTATGAAGTCAGGATTAAATTTCCAGTTGATGGGCAAGAATCTCTAATTAAAACTGCGGGTGTGTGTTACAGTCCTGGCATCTTGGGCTTGAGGAACAAGGTCCAGGTGTGCCCACTTATGTTTTTAGGTTTGAGTCGCTGGGCCTGCCTGCTCTCCCATTGGACTGGAAGCACCTTGAAGCCATGGATGGTATCTTGTCTGTCTACCAGCTCCCAGCATAGGTTTCAAATGTCTGCTGGGTCAGATTCCGGGAAGGACTTGTCCAGTCACTCAGTAGCCAGAGAAGGGTTAGGAAAGGAACTTGAGTCCCTGGACCCCCTCTCTAGTGCCCCAGTGTGCTCTCTGGAGCTCTCTGGCCACCCCTAGTCCCATATCGGCCAGGACTCTAGCATCTCTGCTGTGCATCCTTGGGCAAACAAATCCCCTCTCTGGGCTGTGGTGTTGAAGGGAGCAGTCTAGGCTGCAGAATGAAGCTCTGACACCCCTGGAGGCTCTGCCAATGACTTTCCAAGGTTCCAGCCAACCTGGGCTGCCTTCTGGGCTCGGAGGAAAGGGTTTCTTTCTTCAAGAAGTGGCAGGAGGAAGAAGAGGCTCAGTGATCTGCTTTCTACTTCTTTTCTGCTCCTCTCCATGCTCCTGTCTCCTGCCCCCTTGTCAAAAGAGCCCCATCCTTGAGGACAGAGAAACGGACACCATGACCCTCATCTCTGTGTGAGGGCAATGATCACCACCTCCACCCCTAAAAGAAGATAAAAACCACCTCAGGTCTGTAATGCAATGTCTTAGTCATCTAGTGCTGCTATAACAGAAATACCACAAGTGGATGGCTTTAACAAAGAGAAATTTATTCTCTCACAGTCTGGGAAGCTAGAAGTCCAAATTCAGGGTGCAGCTCCAGGGAAAGGCTTTTTCTCTCTGTCACCTCTGGTGGAAGGTCCTTGTCATCAATCTTTCCCTGGGTCTAGGAGCCTCTCAGTGCAGGGACCCCAGGTCCAAAGGATGCGCTATGCTCTGGATGCTTCTTTCTTGGTGGTATGAGGTCCCCCTGTCTCTCTGCTCTATTCTTTCTTATATTTCAAAAGAGATTGATTTAAAACACAGTCTAATCTTATAGATTGCGTCCTGCCTAATTAACATAACTGCCTCTAATCCAGCCTCATTAACATCATAGAGGCAGGATTTACAACACATAGGAAAATCACATCAGATGACAAAATCGTGGACAGTAACACAATACCGGGAATCATGGACTAGCCAAGTTGACACAAATTTTTGGGGGACACAATTCAATCCATAACAGGCAGGCTCGGTCCTGCATATCAATTAACACCACAACCCATCTCCTTGTTTGTTATCCAAGATACAGCAGAAAGACCACCATTCTGGGAACTAATTTATTCTACAAATATTGAGCACACACTATATGTGGGCACTGTGCCAAGTGCTAAGACTTGCTTTGAGTCCTGGATTCTGGCTCCTGCTTTGCCATCAACACTCTGGCCTGAGGCTAGAGAATTCCCCGATCTGGGCCTTAGTTTTCCCATCTATGAATTGGGGTAGCATTGGTTCTGCTCACTTTCCAAGGTGCTTATGAGGCTTGGAGGAGGGTAATGGATCATATGAGAATGTGTTCTAAACAGTATAATCCAGAGTCTGAAAGCGAGAGGGCTAGTGCTAATTTTTAAATTCCTTCCACCTGACGCCCTGGCCACACATGCAATAGATGCACAGTAACTATTAGCCGTGGAGGGCACAGAGAGGGTATAAACCAGGATATCCTAACCTCTGTGGGCACGGACTCTCCTGAGAGCCAGATGAAAAGGAAGAGCCTTTTCATGGAAAATGCACATGCAGGTGGACACGTGGTTTTGCACATGATTTGAGGAGCTCCATGGGCCCGCCAGATCCCAGGAGCAGAAGTCCTGTATAGACAGTTCCATGTGGTGGCTATTTACCTGTCTGTCCTGCAGGCTGCCCACAGATGGAGTAGGAGTGGGGTATCAGGAAAGACCAGGAGCTAAGAGCTGGCTGCCCTAACCATGCCCTAAGGAAGGGAGACACTCTTCTTAGCCCCTTTGGTGGGGGCGGGAGGGGAGGGTTAGTCTGGAGCTGACCCAGGAGCCCCCACGGCTGTCATGCCTTCCTTTTGCAGGAGGGCCTTAGGGGCGGTAGTTTGGTGGGCAGATGAGGGCTAGTCTTGGAGCTGCACAGATAGAGCAGACAACTTTTTGCTTAGATGATATGTTCATTGGCAGTGGCTTGAGGAGCAGGGAACTTTGTTCTCTGAAGGGCCTCAGGGACCCCATCAAGGTTGATGCCTTTCACCATGCTGCTTCATAGGAAACAGAGCCAGCAGGCTTGGCCAGCCCCTCAGAGTCTGCCTCCACCCCTTCAGGGAGACCCTGGGTCCTAGGTAGACCCTCCAAAGGACACTGTGTGGTGAGGGCCTCAGAAAGAGACATCTAAAAATCCCTTTCTAACTCCCCTTTCTCCTTAGGGCCCAAATTCAGGGTCTGAGGTGGAGGGAGCTTAGGTGAGGGGCTGTAAGCAGGTGACAGGGGCATAAGGAAAACCTACTCCCAAGCCTGCCCCTGTACCCCACCCCTGACTGGGCCTTGGGGCTCAGATCCTGACTCTCTGCCTGGGGTCACCACATCTCCCTCCAGTCCCCCACCTGTCCTCCAGGAGTTGGGAGGGGCAGGTAAGGGTAAAACCCCTTCATCCTGAGGTCCTGACCCTCCCCGGCCCCCCTAACACACACACACACACACACACACACAAAGGAATGGGTGGGTACCCCAGTCTGTGGGAGCATTAAGTTTATTTCTAGCCAGGCTGAACTCCTGAGGAGATGGGTTGTGTCACCATACAACCTGTCCCACTGGGGGGTTGGAGGTGGCATGATCTGGCAGCCTAGGGGTCAGCCTCTTTTTCACAGGTTAATGCCAGGGGGTCAGGTAGTTGACACGACTGTGGAGAGAAAAAGAGGTGAGGTGGGGGCCTCCAGGGTATCCTGGGGGAAAATCAGGCTGCCCTTCCCTGGGCCTTCCTGCCCTCAAGGCTCTGACAATACAGCTTCCATCCAGCCTCTCTGCAGCTCAAGGGACTTCAGTGGCTCCCTGTTTACTTCTACCTGATTTTGGCTGCTCTGCTTGGTTTTCAAGTTACCCTCCCCCACCCCAGTTCCAGTTTGCCTCATTCTTTTCTCCCATTGATCCCCAACCATGAACTGCTTCCCTCATTTTTCAATCAGTGAGTGAACCTATTGTCATGCATTATAAATCGTAAAAAACAACAATTTCCCTCCTACCCCCCCAAAAAAAAAACAGCGTTCCCCTGAGTATGCATATGGAGGGAGAAAGGCAAGCTTCCCATCAATAATTATGATGCAGTAGTCTCAGTGCTATAAGACAGGGATGCAATGTGGTGACCAACTGGAGGGGGTGTGAACTGGGGATTAGGGAGAAGAGGTAGAGGGTCAGGGAGGACTTCAAGGAGGATGGGACATCTGAGCTGGGCTTTCAAGAGTGAGTAGGAGTTTTCCAGGCAGAGAAGAAAGGATAATCCAGGCACTAAAACAGCACAAAGGTGTGGAGGAGTGCTTGGTTGTGCCTGGTGGGTTAAGGCTGGAAATGTGGGAGATGGCTAAATTAGGAAGATGAATATCTTGTACCACTTCCCATGCTCATTCCCATCTCCAAGCCTGTACTCAGAGGTGACCCTGACAGGAACACCAGCCTCCTCCATTATCACCTGTCCACATCCTGGGAGGCAGATTTTCGGCTCTTTTTGTCATGTAGCTTATACGTTTGTTTGTTCTTCCGGTCCCTGCTCTCCTCCAGGGTAACTCCCTCTCCTTTTGGCCTCTTCTGGGCCAAAGCAGGTGGGACATGTATTGCTGTCCCTCTCTCCCCTCAGCGGGCTGTTGTTTGCACGGATCTCTCCAGAGGGATCACCCAGGAGGACATCACCCAGGAGGACACCACCCAGGAGGACACCACCCAGGAGGACATCACCCAGGAGGACATCACCCAGGAGGACATCACCCAGGAGGACATCACCCAGGAGGACACCGGATCTCGCGAGGCCCCGCCCCCGCCCTGGAGGTGGGGTCTGGGAATCTGCTAACTCCGGAGGCCGAACCAAGGGCCTCGAGGGGGCGTGGCCGGATGTGGGCGGGGGCGGAGTCATTGCCATACCTGTAGAGGGAGCTGAAGCGTCGGAAAGCGTTGCTGGAAAAAAGAGGTGAGTGAGTCGAGGTGAGGAGAGGCAAGCCTCGCGGAGCTCCTCACTCCCATCTCAGGCGTGCCCACCCATCTCACCAGAAGGACTACACTGCACCTTTGCCCCACTTTAACGGAGTTAAAGGGTGACAAAGTGTTCCGTTTGGTAGGAATTAAACGTTTATTCATTTTGAAATTGCAATTTTCTGGCGGTGTACTGGAACCAATCAATTTTCCCTCACACATTTTCAAGGGCCACTAGGTGCTCGCTGGGAAGAGCGGCCAAGACCTCCCCGCCCTCCTCTCGGGTCTGGGATCCCGGGGCGTGTGGCGGCACTCACAGGGAGTCGGCAGGCAGGGGCTTCTGTCCGTAGCGGTCCAGGCTGGGGTTCTGATTGAGGCAATACTGAGGCGGCCAGAGGGAGTCGGGGGAGGTCGGTGAGGCGGGGAGGACGCGGACTCTCCGCATGCGCCCCACACAGCTCCCCCTGCTGGAGACCTTGGGCCTGGGGACTGGGAGACCCTGCTCTCGGCCTCTTGCCCCATGTCAACTGCTCCCCACCTTGGCCCTGGGGACTCGGTCAGCGCGCAGCCCTCCCTACCCGCCAGCTCTGGGTCACGTCCGGCTTCAAGTACCGCACGGCATAGCCGCTGAAGCTCTCAACTGCAAGGAGAGAAGCCCCTCTGGGTCCCTCGCCCGCCCCAGAACAAGCTCCGCCCCCAGCCCCGCTCCTAGGAAAGCCACGCCCCCAGAATAAGCTCCGCCTTAACTGCCCTGCCCGACCAGGTCTCCTCCGGACTCCTCTCCGCTGGTCCCAGAGCCAGCCCGGCCCTCAGCCTCCGCTCAGAGGCCTCCCTCCAGCCTGACCCGGGCCCCCGCTCCGCCCTCCCCCCGGGACAAGCCCGCTTCCACGGCCCTCAGCCAGTCTCAGTCCCACGCAACTGCTCCAACTGCTGCCCGGAGCCCGCAGTCAGTCCCCCTGGAACCTCGCCCTGAGGCCCCGCCCCCGCCCCCGCCCCCGCCGGCGGGCGCGTAGTGGCTCCAGCCCTGCCCTAGTGCATCTTCGCGCCAGGTAGACCAACCCCTCTTGCCCGGGCAGGGCAGCTTGAACTCGCCGGCCGACGACACGAAGTGGGACCAGTCTTCGATGGCGCGCGTGAAGCAGGGCCAGTTGACCTGGTTGATGCCTGGCGCGATGGGAGCCAGCTTCCTCGCGCGGTACCTGTCTTGGAGTTTCTGGCCAGTGGCGGTGATGTCCTGCCAGGGCGATGGGGGTCAGGGCCACAGCAGTAAATGCAGAAGTCTGGGGCGCCGCCCCAGACCACGCCTTGGCCGGAGCTGATGCTTGGCCCATCTAACCTAGGGGACACCTGAGGCAGGGCCAGGGGTGGGCCCGGGGTCCCAAGCAGGCAGCTGGGCTTAGATTCTCGAGGGTCTGCACGAGGAGCAGAGCCCAGGACCCAAGTTGCTGGGGGCTGGGGGCAGGCTGGAGCTTGTGTCCTCTCCCCCGAGGAAACCCAGGGCCGGGGACAAAGGACACTCACCAAGCACTGCAGGGGCTTGTTGGGGACACCGAGGAGTGTAAAGTAGGCATTGTCAAACTCATCTGTAGAAAGAAGAGAAGTGGGGAAGAGGGTCTTGTCCACCAGTGGTCACACGCCCACACAGGAGAGGTTTGGACCACACTGTGCTTTAAAAATTTTTGGAAATATTTGACAACTTTAAAAAATTGAAGATAAAGTAGCATCCATACCTCACCCCTTACAATAGAATAAACTCCAAATAGATCAAAGATTCAATATAAGAAATGAAACCATAAAAGTATACTAGAAGAAATCATAGACAGATTCCTTCAAAACCTTGGAGTGAGGAAGGCCTTGCTAATTCTAATTAAAAATCCAGAAGCCTTAAAGAAAAGATTGAGCAGTTTGACTACATAAAACAACATAATAGAAGTCAAAAGACAAATGGGAAAAATATACTACAGATGAGAGGCAATTTTCCAATTATAGGAAGAGCTCCTAGAAATTAAGACCCTCTCTCCAATGGGTAAACAACATGCATTGCTAGTTTACACACAAATAAAAGAAATTACAAATGGCTCCTAATCATATGAAAAGACACTTCAACCTCGTTCATAGTAATAATACTAAATAATATAAACGCATGTTTAAACTACATTGAGGTACAAATTTTTGCCTGTTAGATTGAAAACAATGGAAAAGATAATGCAGTTATTGGGAAACAGGGTCTCTATACATTGCCAGAGGGGGTATAAATTGGTTCCGCCCTATGGAGGGCAGTTTGGCATTATCTAAGGAGCCCTGATGGCGCAGGGGTTAAGAGCTCAGCTGCAACGAAAAGGTCAGCATTCGAATTCACAGGCTGCTCCTTAGAAACCCTATGGGGCAGATCTACTCTGTCCTGTAGGGTTGCAGTGAGTCGGAATCACCTTGACAGCAACGGCAACAGGTTTGGTTTTGATTTTTCAGTAAGGAGCCCTGGTGGTACAAACAGTTAAGTGCTTGGCTGCTATCTGAAAGGTTAGCAGTTTGAACCCACCAGCAGCTGTGCAGGAGAAAGACCTGGCAATCTGCTCCTGTAAAGATTTCATCCTAGAAAATCTTATAGGGCAGTTCTACTGTCACGTGGAGTGAATCGACTCCATGGCACCCAACAGCAACGATATCAGAATTATAAATACACATAGTTTTTGACCCCGCCCACAGCCCTGCTTCTGGGAATTTACCCCACTTTACAGCTGCACAAGTGGGAAATAATGAGGGTAGAAGGTTACCCACTTCAGCATCGTTTGTAATAGCTCAGGTGGACCCAGTGACTTGCTGGAGGTTTCCTGGGCTTCGAGTGGCAGAGCTGAAACTGGCCCCACTAATCCCTTCCCCTGACACTTACGCCTTTTCCCTCTGAGATCTCTCCCCTTCTCATACCCTCCACCCCTTTCACAAAAGCCGGATCCAGCGCCCGTGGCAGGCAGTGGGACAGCTGAGGTGGCCTGACCTTTGCTGCAGTAGGTGCTGGACTGGCAGTGCTCATCCGAGAGGCAGGCCCTGACGGTGTCCATGTCCATGCGGCGCAGGGTGGGCAGGGCCGGGTGGTAGAGCTGCTGCTTTACACCGGCCAGCATGTTGCGTTTCCGCTCAGTGGGGAGCAGGATGGCCGGGGATGCGTACACGTGGGTGGAGCCATCGTCCCAGGGCACCAGGTCGATGATGCGGGCCATGGCTGGGGACAGAGCATACTTGGGGGCTCACCCTGCGCTCGGGCCAGCCAGATGCCCTTCTGTCTGGGAACTTGATCTGGGCCAATGCCAGTTTGTTTATTTGGTGATATAAATGTTCACCAAATACCTACTGTATGTCAGGCCCTGTTCTTGGGAAACTCCCTGTGTGGTGGCAGGGACATTCATATAAAAGAAGGACCGACAGGCATATGTACAGGATGTGCTAAGGTCTGTGATGGAGGTCGATAGAGTGTATATGTCGGGGGTTGGAGGGGTTGGGGGTGGGAACAGTCAGAGAATGATCTAAAAGAGCATTTGCACCTATTCTTAAAAACCGAGCAAGAAGAGGCAGCAGAAGGTAGGTTCAGAATGTAGTCCAGTATGCCAAATACCTCTGGGTGACTATACGAACTTTTTGGCCCTAGCTAAGGTGTCTGGCCTTTACCCAAAACTCTGTAGGAAGACATAGAAAAGTTTTAAAGAAGGGGAGAGACATGAGATTTGAACTAGAAAAACATTGCTGGTTACCAAGTTCCTCCCTTTAAAAAGCAGATATTCCCAGAAGCCTTTCAGTCATTTACACTTTAGTGAGAATTTGTTGATGCAGATTGCTTTCTTCCTGACCCAAGTTAGAGTATCTGAGAGATTGGAGGTGGGAGGTAGGTGGGCAGGAGGGGGGAGGGAGAGGGCTAGGTGAGGAGGCATGGGAAAGCTACCGCAGGGGATGGGATTGCATGGGGGAGGGGCAGGGAAGCAGAATACTGAGAGGAGGGTAGAGAGGGCTCCCTGCTTCTGATCAACCAATGGTAGCTACCTCATCGGTGTGGCGCAGACCTTGGGTGCACAGGCTTTTAAGGACTTCCTGCTCTTCTGACTACTCAATGGGGAGAAGAGCGAGGAAGTGAGGTAGGCCAGGCCCCAGTGCCTTATGGGATGGCAGGAGACTAAAGAAACATTCTGCAGAGACAATGCCCATTGCAGCCTGATTGTGAGGGCACCTGCTCCTCGGCAACCCTGGTGACTACAGGCTCTGAGAAGAGCCTGCTCCCGGCTCCTGCATACTGACCACTCCCTTTCAGTTCCCTGAAAGGCTCTGTCTCCCAGGCGAAGTACAAGCAGGGCATCCTGGGACAGGTCAGGCAGGGAGCTAGGCTGCCTGGAGGCGGCCCTGCCAGGGCTGGCTGAGGATGGTTGCCTAGCCCATCTCAGGCTGTGCAGCCCTGGGCTGGTTGCTGTTTCTCTCTGGGCTTCAGGGCTCTTCTCTGTGCCGGTGAGGGCCCTAGGTCCTGCCATTAGGGGTATCTGTAAACTGCGAGGGCTCTCCCCTCCCCTTAAACTTCCAGGAAGAGGGCATTGCCCTGTCAACCAGCCTTTGGACCTTCAGAGTCGGAGATTAGTGGCTGCCAGTATTCGGGGTCACCACCGTAAGGGGATCAGGGAGACTGGTGACCTCAGCAGGCCAGGGATTAGCAAATGATACTCCACTCCCAGTCCCTCAGTCCCCTGGAGGGCCACAGCCTCCCTCCCTCCCAGGAAAAAGTGCCTGAGCCCGGTACCCGCAGCCCTGGAGCCTGCCTACCACCCTGGTCACAGTATTAGAGATGGACCCCCAAGGGGAGGAAACCCTGGGAGAGCCAAGCTTATTTGCACATATTGGCATGTGCTTTGCATCCACTTGCTCCTGGTGCTGACAGGTTCTGGGCCTTTTGCGGTGACAAAGAGGTAGAATTTGATTCTCCAGTTGTTCCTCCTCCCGTATGCCATACAGCCCCAGTGCAGCATCCCCATGGCCTGCCCCTCACAGAAAACTTCCCCAGAGTCAACTCCACTCACCACCCCACCCCCAATTTATGTTTAACTCTACTATAAAGTTATAAAGTATAACAATACAGAAAGTGCATATATACATAATTCAATAATTTATAAAGTGAGACCCCTATATAACTACCACTCAGGTCAACACATGGGGGAATATTTTGGAAACAATTTAGCAGTTTCTTAAAAAGTTAAACTTGAATTTGCCATAGGATCCAGCAGTTCTATCCCTAGGAATCTACCCAAGAGAAATGAAAACAAATCTCCACACAAAGATTTGCATACAAATGTTCATAGCAGCATAATTTATAACAGTCAAAAAGTGGAAACAACCGATATGTACATCAGGATATGAAGGGATAAGCAAACTGTGGTATATGCATACAGTGCAGTGTCTTTTGGCAATAAAAAGGCTCAAAGTATTGATTGATACTTTGCTGGTGATGCCAAGAGAAAGAAGCCAGTCACAAAAGACCACGTATTGCACGATGTTATTTATATGAAATGTCCAGAATAGGCAAATCCATAGAGACAGAAAGTGGATGTGGTTAGCAAGGCTGTAAGAAATGGCGAGTGACTGCTATTATATGGAGTTTCTTTTTGGAGTGATTAAAATGTTCTAAAAGTAATTTATGGTGATAGCTGCACAACTCTGTAAGTATACTAAAAACCATTAAATTGTACACTTTATTTTTTTATTTGTTTTTATTGTGATTTAGGTGAATGTTTACAGCTCAAGTTAATTTCTCGTTCAAAAATTTATACTCATATTGTTTTGTGACATTGGTTGCAATCCCCACAATGTGATAGCATACCGCCCCTTTCTACCCCAGGTTCCCTGTATCCATTCGACCAGTTCCTGTCCCTTCCTGCCTTCTCATCCTGCCTTTGGACAGGAGCTGCCCATTGGGTCTCCTATATTTGATTGAACTAAGAAGCACGTTCCTCACGTGTGCTATTTTTTGTTTTAGCGTCCTGTCTAATCTTTGAAGAGTGGACTTTGGGAATGGTTTCAGTTCTGGGTTAACAGAGTGTCCGGGGGCCATAGTTTTGGGGTAAATTGTATACTTTAAAGGGGTGAATTTTTATGGTAAGTAAATTATATCTCTATAAAGCTGTTGGGGAAAAAAAAAAAAAAAAAAAACCTACATAGCCTGCATTAAAAAGTGGCTTATCTTGATTTAGGAGCCCTGTTAGTATAATGCAGCCCTGGTGGAACAGTGGCTAGGAGCTCGGCTGCTAATGAAAAGGTTGGCTGTTCGAGGCCCCCAGCTGCTCCTTGGAAACCCTATAGGGCAGTTCTATGCTGTCCTATAGAGTCACTATGAGTTGGACTCGACGGCAACAGGTTTTTTTTTCAGTAGCGCAATAGTTACGTGGTTGGTGGCTTGAACCTACCCCGGGGCTGCTTGGGAGAAAAGATCTGGTGATTTGCTCCCATAAAGATTACAGCCTAGGTAATACTGTGTGGCAGTTCTACTCTGTCCTATAGAGTCGCAAAGAGTCAGAACTGACCTGATGGCACACAAGAACAATCTTCATTTACTTACGGTTACCCCTACCCTCCAAGGGTGGTTAACAAAGATGTGGAGTCCTGGGTGGTGTAAATGGTTAGGCGCTGGACTGCTAACGGAGAGGTTGGAGATTCGAGTCCACCAGAGGTGCCTCAGAAGAAAGGCCAGGTGACCTACTTCCAAAAAAATTAGTCATTGAAAAATGCCAGATGCACCAGCCTCAAGATTTACCCTTGCTGTGTCCCCTGCCTGGAATACCATTCACCCAGATCTTCTGACAGCTAAGCCTTTCTTGCTTTTCATGTCTCAATTCAAGTATCTACCTCTGTCCTGTCCCTGCCGTGTTAGTTCATTTCATGGCACTTAGCATAATTTGCAAAGTACTTTTATTTTTAGTTTTTAATCTTTTTAAAGGCGCACTGGTGGTGCAGTGGTCAAGCACTTGGCTGCTAACCAAAAGGTTGGCAGTTGGAACCCACCAGCCACTCCACTGGAGAAAGATGTGGCAGTCTGCTTCTATAAAGATTTACAACCTTGGAAACCCTATGGGAAGTTCTGCTCTGTCCTATAGGGTCCATATGAGTTGGAATTGACTCGACAGCAACGGGTTTGGTTTGGTATGGGAATCTTTTTTATGTCTGTCTCTCCATTGGAATGGAAACTCCATGAGGGCAGCGCCTATGTCTGTCTTGCTCAATGTGCCGAGCCTGGCATGCTGCTGGACACACAGGAAGAGCTCAAGAAAAATTGTAGCCAATCAAGTATCTGCTGCTTTGCTGAACATCCTTCCAGCCTCCACCCCACTCTGGGTCCTGTCATCTCACTGAGCCCCTCCTCACTGGCACCCTACCTCATAGGCCCTCTGTTCAGGCCCCTCCCCTTCAGTCTCCCCTGTTGAGTCTGACCCCAGTTCACAGGGTGGGATCAGAGGCAATCAGTCATTCCACCTGTCCTTGCATCCTTCCTAGAGGCCCAGGGACCATGGCTATTCTGGCAGGGCCCCAGGCAGGCTGTTGGCCCTGTCAAAGCTACAGAAGGCTCCAGGCCAGAGATGACCTGCCTGAGTTCCAGCATTGGGCTGGAGAGCCAGGGTGAGCCTCCTGCCACTGCTGCTGAGAGTTGACAAGCCCCTGCCACCTTGAGTAGTCTCCCAGAATCACATGAGGACTCCAAGCCATTGTCCTCCCACCAGCCGCTCTGGGGCTCAGCCAAGGTGTGCTCTAAACCTGTGCCTCGCGGGGCCCTTTCCCTGGGGTCCAGGTCCCCGCTGGTCCTGGGAGGAGGAGCAGCTGGCTCCCTGGGCATCAACCTCCTCTCCTCCACCCCTACCCTTGTTTGGTACCTGCTAATCCTTTGCACACGGCCTGGCTGCTCCCAATTAATCCCTGCTGTGTCTGAGAGGTCCAGCTGCAAGTGGCAGGGAGAAGACAATTCCTGGCTGGTGGTCGGCATCTGAACAGGTAACTCAGGATGAGGTGGAGGCTTGGTGGGACCCCGGATAAGACCACCATGCTCCCATTCTAGCAAGGCCTTCACAAACAGGCAGGGACGGGGAACCCTGGGGCTTCTCCTTCCCTGGTGGGGCTCAAACTTTCACGTGCATCAGAGTCTAGGAATCTGTATTTCCACCAGATCCCCAGAGGATTTTGTAAAGGCTGGTGGTCCAAGCACCACAGTTCCTTGAGCTGCCCCTCCCAGGACCCCTTTCCCTGCTGAACCTCCCTCATTAGAGTGGAACTAGCAGGGACACGGCAAAAAGGTGGGAGGGACCTACACTGATTCAATCCAGGAAGAAATGGCTGCGTCTGAGGGGAAGAAGAAAAATTTGGGTTGGGGAAGGTTTCTCTGGTCATTTCAGAAGGTTCAGGAATGCAAGCCAGAACTGCTGCCTGCTGGGAAAGGGTCTGCAGAAGAGGCCAACAGTACCAGCCAGGGTAGGTGCAGAACATCTGGAATCAGGCAGACCTGAGGACAAACTCAACTTGCCACTTGCTGGCTGTGTTGCCTTGAGCAAATTTATTGACCTCTCTTTGCCTCATTTCCTTATCTGTAAAAATGGTGATGAAGATACCTATTTTACTGGGGGTGGGGTGTGAGAATGAGCTTGAGTGTGATCATGGGTGGGAGAGCTCTCGGCTCAGTTCTGGCTTGCAGGGAGCACTCACACTGGGGCCACAGTGGCTGGCTGGGGCCACTGGAATCGTGACCTCAAACATCAAGCTTAGGATCTACAGATCTTGGAAATCACTGTGTACCCCCTACCTGAGTCCCTGAGTGCTGCAAATGGTTAAGTGCTCCACAACTAACCAAAAGGTTAGTGGTTCAAACTCACTTAGAGGTGCCTTGAAAGAAAGGCCTGGTGAACTGCTTCTGAAAGGTGACAGCCTTAAAAACCCTATGGGGCAGTTCTACTCTGTACACATGGGGTCACCATGAGTTGGAATAGACTTGACAGCAATGGGATTGGTTTTGGTTTGAGCCCTAACCCAACAGGGAATTCTCTGACGCATCTGTCAGTTTCTCATACTGTGAGGGCTTTCGTGTTGTTGTGATGCTGGACTCTATGCCACCAGTATTCAAATACCAGCAGGGTCACCCATGGTGAGCAGGTTTCAGCTGAGCTTCCAGACTAAGACTAGGAAGAAGGACCTGACGGTCTACTTCTGAAAAAAATTAGCCAGTGAAAACCTTATTAATAGCAGTGGAACATTGTCTGATATAGCGCCAGAAGATGAGCCCCCCAGGTTGGAAGGCACTCAAAAGACAACAGGGGAGAGCTGCCTCCTCAAAGTAGAGTGGATCTTAATGATGTGGATGGAGTCAAGCTTTTGGGACCTTCATTTGCTGATGTGGCATGACTCAAAATGAGAAGAAACAGCTGCAAACATCCATTAATAATAGGAACATGGAATGTACAAAGTATGACTCTAGGAAAATTGGATATTGTAAAAAATGAAACGGAACATATAAACATCCATATCCTAGGCATTAGTGAGCTGAAATGGAATGGTATGGGCCAGTTAGAATCAGAAAATCATATGGTCTACTATGCTGGGAGTGACAAATTGAAGAGGAATGGCATCGCATTAATCATCAAAAAGAACATTTTAAGATCTATCCTGAAGTACAATGCTGTCAGTGGTAGGATAATATCCATATGACTACAAGGAAGAGCAGTTAATACGACTATTATTCAAATAGATGCAACATCCACTAAGGCCAAAGATGAAGAAATTGAAGATTTTTTACCAACTTCTGCGGTCTGAAATTGATCAAAAATGCAATCAGGATGTATGATAATTATGGGTGATTGGAACGTGAAAGTTGGAAACAAAGAAGAAGGATCAATAGTTGGAAAATATGGCCTTGGTGATAGAAACAATACAAGAGATTGCATGACAGAATTTTGCAAGACCAACGACCTCTTCATTGCGATTACCTTTCTTCAGCAACATAAAAGGAGACTATACACATGGACCTCGCCAGACGGAATACACAGGAATCAAATCGACTACATCTGTGGAAAGAGACGATGGAAATGCTCAATATCATAAGGCAGAACAAGGCCAGGGGCTAACTTCAGAACAGACCATCAATTGCTCATATGCAAGTTCACATTGAAGCTGAAGAAAATTAGAACAAGTCCAGGAGAGCCAAAGTATGACCTTGAGTATATCCCACCTGAATTTAGAAACCATCTCAAGAATAGATTTGACACATTGAACACTAACGACCGTAGACCCGACAAGTTACGCAAGGACATCATACTTGAAGAAAGCAAGAGGTCATTAAAAAGGCAAGAAAGAAAGAAAAGACCAAAGTGGGTGTCAGAAGAGACTCTGAAACTTGCTCTTTAAGGTAGAGTAGCTAAAGTGAATGGAAGAAATGATGAAATAAAAGAGCTGAACAGAAAATTTCAAAGGGCAGCTCGAGAAGACAAAGTAATGTATTGTAATGACATGCACAAAGATCTAGAGTTAGAAAACCAAAAGGGAAGAACGCGCTCAGCATTTCTCAAGCTGAAAGAACTGAAGAAAAAATTCAAGCCTCGAGTTGCAACACTGAAGGATTGTATGGGCAAAATACTGAACGACGCAGGAGGCATCAAAAGAAGATGGAAGGAATACACAGCGTCACTGTACCAAAAAGAATTGGTCAACGTTCAGTCATTTAAGGAGGTAGCATATGATCAGGAACCGATGGTACTGAAGGAAGAAGTCCAAGCTGCACTGAAGACATTGGTGAAAATTAAGCCTCCAGGAATTGATGGACTACCAATTGAGATGTTTCAACAAATGGATACAATGCTGGAGGTACTCACTTGTCTATGCCAAGAAATTTGGAAGACAGCTATCTGGCCATATATAGAGATCCATATTTCTGCCCATTCCAAAGAAAAGTGATCTAACAGAATGTGGAAATTATTAAACAATATCATTACTATCACACTCAAGTAAAATTTTGCTGAAGATCATTCAAAAGCGGTTGCAACAGTACATTGACAGAGAACTGTCAGAAATTCAAGCCAGATTCAGAAGACGTGGAATGAGAGATATCATTTGTGATGTCGTCTGGATCCCAGCTGAAAGCAGAGAATACCAGAAAGATGTTTACCTGTGTTTCATTGGCTATGCAAAGACATTCGACTCTGTGGATCATAACAAATTACGGATAACATTGCAAAGAATGGGAATTCCAGAACACTTAATTGTGCTCATGAAGAACCTGGTCATAGACCAAGAGGCAATGATCCAAACAGAGCAAGGGGATACCGCGTGGTTTAAAGTCAGGAAAAGTGTGTGTCAGGGTTGTATCCTTTCACCATACTTCTTCAATCTGTATTCTGAGCAAACAATCCAAGAAGCTGAACTATATGAAGAAGAACATGGCATCAGGATTGGAGGAAGACTCGGTAACAACCTGCGTTATGCCGATGACACAACCTTGCTTGCTGAAAGTGAAGAGGACTTGAAGCCCTTACTGATGAAGATCAAGGACTACAGCCTTCGGTATGGGTTACACCTCAACGTAAAGAAAACAAAAATTCTCACAACTGGATCAATAAACAACATCATGATAAACAGAGAAAAAATTGGAGTTGTCAAGGATTTCATTTTACTTGGATCCACAATCAATGCCCATGGAAGCAGCAGTCAGGAAATCAAAAGACGCATTGCATGGGGGCAAATAGGCTGCAAAAGACCTCTTTAAAGTGTTGAAAAGCAAAGATGCCACCTTGAGGACTAAAGTACACCTGACCCAAGCCGTGGTGTTTTCAATTGTTTCATATGCATGCGAAAGCTGGACAATGAATAAGGACGACCAAAGAAGAACTGATGTATTTAAGTTATGGTGTTGGGGAAGAATATTGAATGTACCATGGACTGCCAAAAGAATGAACAAATCTGTCTTGGAAGAAGTACAAGCAGAATGCTCCTTAGAGGCAAGGAAGGCGAGACTACGTCTCACATACTTTGGACATGTTATCAGGAGGCACCAGTCCCTGGAGAAGGACTTGGTGGAATAGAGGGTCAGCGAAAGAGAGGAAGACCTTCAATGAGATGGACTGACACAGTGGATGCAACAATGGCTCAAGCATAACAACGATTATGAGGTTGGTGTAGGACCGGGCAGTGTTTCCTTCTGTTGTACATAGGGTTGCTATGAGTCGAAACTGAGTGAACGGCACCTAACAACAACAACAATAGGGAATTGGAAGCCGAGAGGGGTTACGTCTGGCCCAAGTTCACCTTTGGGGGGGGGCATTGATCCAGGGATCAGACCCCCACCCAGAGCTCTGTGCTCCACTCCAGCCTCTTGTGGGAGAAGCAGAGCTGAGGAGGTCAAAGTAGAAACAGCTGTGAGCAGAAGGGCCTACTGCATGGCGAGCAGCAGTGAGGAGCTGGGCCCTGCACCTGCTCTTTTTAGCCTGGGGCCAAGGTCTCTGGCAGAAGAGAGGTGCAGAGGCACTCTGTCAACTCTTTGGCTGCCATGGCTGGGGAAGCAGCAGGGGCCACCTATGCTGAGCATGGCCTGGGAAGGACCCTTCCAGGCCTTGTGAGTTTGCACACATTGACCTGCATGGTGTCCCCTGGGTCAGGACATCATGAGGGCAGAGGCTCCCCATTCTCTGAAGATAAATGATACCGAAAACCAAACCCATTTATGGTAAGACTAAAATATCATAGTGAACCAAGAAAAGGAGGTTTGACTGGCATTTTATCTTCCAAAAACCAAAACCTGTTGTCATAGTGACTCTATAGGACAGAGCAGAACTGCCATAGGGTTTCCAAGGAGCAGCTGGTGGATTCAAACTGCTGACCTTTTGGTTAGCAGCCAAATGCTTAACCACTGCACCACCAGGGCCCCATTTTATCTTAAAAATTAAAAAAAATCATGAAAATAGGCTTTTTAAAATATTAAATAAAACAAATAATCCATGCATATGCTACTCATAGTGTGTATATATATTTATTTATATTGAGATTATGCTGCACATGGTATTCCGAAATTACATAGTGTTTTCACTTGATATCACATAATAGTTACAGCCATTTATTAAGCCCTCAGCATATGCCGGTCACTCTTCTGAGTCTGTTGCACTTCTCAGTTCATTTGATCCTTACAATCACCCCATGACAGGTAGGTATTATTAAAATCCCCATCTTATAGATAAGCAAACTGAGGCACAGAGTGTTTAACTAATTTGCTCATGACTTGATTCCAGAGCATGTATATCTTTCTGTGTTAGTTCAGATAGATTTGCTTCTTTCTTGTTAACAGCTCTGTAATATTCCATTATATGAATGTACTGAAATTTATTTAATACTTGCTGTTCTTATAGATGACCATTTAGGTACTTTCCAATAAGCAGTCTCCTTTGGTGGATATTTGGGTATCTTTCACCTTTTGAAACCAACCTCTCTATACATATATGTTTATGAGCTTAAGTATTTCTATAAGGTAAATACTTGGAGGTATAATTGCAAAAACACTTCTAAAGATAATGAGAGAAAAGGGAAATGTATAACCCACAAAAGTGACCCACAAATGGTGGGAGCATCTGTGCGCACTTCGGGGAGGTCTAAGGACTCTGTCCCCGGTAGGTATCAGGATGTTGAGCTGGGTACAGAAGGTGCTCCCTCAGCCTCCAGAGACGCCTCAGAAGGCCAAGATGGAGGAGCAAGATGAGGCAGATCCAGATATGGAGCCAGAGCTGGAGCCAGAGCCAGAGCCAGAGCTGGAGCCGGAGCCGGAGCCAGAAGCAGAACCGGAGCCAGAGCCGGAGCCGGAGCTGGAGCCGGAGCAAGAGCCAGAGCCAGAAGCAGAGCTGGACCAGGAGACAGAGCCGGAGCATGAAATGGCCCCCGAGGAGGCTGAGCTAGAGAATGAGCCCTTGGTAAGAAGCAGAGGGTGAGGAGGAGCAGGCTGGCCTTGCTGCTCAGGGACTTCTCAGCTTGGGCCACCTGCCCCCCATGGGCCTTCCACAACAGAGAAAGTTGGAGTCAGAAGGAAACATGGAGGTCTCCTAGTCCAGTGCCCTTGCAGTGCCAATGAGAAGACAGGCCCAGAGTGTGGGCAAGACTTACCCAAGACTAACTTTTTTTCTGTAAAAATCCAGATAAATATTTCAGGCTTTATTTGTTAATTACTCAACTCTGTCCTTGTAGAGTGAAAGCAGCCATAGAAAATATGTAAATGATGAACATGGCTGTGTTCCAATAAAACGTTATTTTGCCAGATTTAGCCTGCAAGCCATGGTTTGCTGACCTCTAGAGTCTAGAACAGTACCACTCAAAGTAGCCTGTTCATGAACTGTTACCAATCTATGATGAGATTAGGAGTTTGCACCAGAATGTAAATCTACTAATGTAACTAAGCACACTGCTTGGTTCAATTGATATTTATTTTGTAGCAAGACTTTCTCGATGAAGGAAGCAGTGCATTGATTTACTTCTGGCTCAAATGGCTTGTTCATTGTGGACCAGTAAAGTTTGAAGATTGGCACTGGTCCGTGGACCGCACTTTGAGCAGCTTTGCTTTACAACTTCCCTTCAAGTATGTCAAAACTTGCCAGTTCTGTGTCTCATTAATTCAGGAGCCTGATCGCAACTAACTCAGCAGCTCAGTTACAGGTTTTTGTTTCATTCCTATTTGATGCCAGGCCCTATGCTCAGTGCTGGGGGTATAAAGATGAATAAGGCATTGCCTCTGGGGGTCAGCAGACAGGTACCCAATCAGCTTATTCCACCAGGAGACCAAGGGTGATGAGGGGATATGGTGAGCTCCAACATTGGCCTCAGCTGTACCCCCCTGAGAGGGCTAAATAACCATGTAAGACTGAGAACAAGGGAAGCCTCAGAAGAGGGAGAGAATCATCATAACTTTGAAGATTATACATTGGTGGGTGAGCGCTTCCTAGACACAGAAGTCTGGGCAGAATTTTAACTGGAGGAGGTGGAGGGGGTGGGACGTTCCTGGCCGAGGAAAGGCCATTATTGGGGTAGTGTACGCTGTATTTAGGAGACAGTGAGGTGCTCAAGTATAAGGCTTGTGTGCATATGTATGTGTTTGCACTTGGCATACATGTGTATGTATATCTGTGTGCCTCATATCCTTGGTGGTATGTCTGTGTGCATATGCGTGCATATGCATGCAAACTGGGTGTGCAGGCTTACACAGATGTGCATGTATATGTGTGTGCACCTACATGTGTACACACATATGTTTACAAGTATGTGCACATGCATGAATATGTCTGTGGTTTCATTCTGTGTGTGGTGCGCCAGTGCGCATAAGTAAGTGTATAGACCTATGTTTCAGTCTGTGAATTTATTCACGTGTATGTGTGTGTATGACATGTTTGTGTGTATGTACATGCACGTTTGTGAATATTTGCATGCCTCTGCATGCATGTACATCCACATAATCTGTATGTGTGCATGTATGCATGTTTGTGTGAACATATACACATGTATGTGTGATGGTGCATCTATATGCATGCGTGTGTGTACACCTAGTTCTGTGTCTGTATATATGCACATGTGTGTATGTGTGTGCCTATGCACATGCTTGTGTTTCTACGTGTGCATGCAGGTGTATACATATATGTGCATCTTTGCATGCATGCATGTGTGTATATACATGCTTGCCCATGCCCGTGTACACATGTATGTGTTTTGGGGCCTGTATGCACTTGTGTTAATGTGTGTGTACATGTGTTTGTGTGTACACATGCACTTATTTTTGTGCCTGTACATGTATGCATATGTGTATATCCACATGTTTGTGTGTCTGTGTATGTATGCTTGTGTATGGGTGTCTATGCTTGCGTTTGTGTTCCTGTGCATGCCTGTAATTGTATGTGAGAATGAGTATGCCCAGATTTGTGTCTGTGCACATATGCATATGTATGCTTGTCTGTATATGCGCATGTATGTGAGGACACACATGTATGTATGTGCACCCAGTAGCAGGAGGTGTAACTGCAGAGGCAGGTGAGGGGCAGGTGGCAGAGGCTGAACTCCTCCCGGCTACTAGAGGGGAATGAAAGGTTTGGCCCAGAAGGCAAGGGAGAGCCCTGGCTCCCTCATCCCCTCAGCTTGCCCCAAGTCTTCATAACTCTCTCCAACTGGTCCTCCCTCCTCCAGAAGACCACTGAAGCTCCCTAGAAATGTTATAGGTCTGAGAGGCTAAGATGCCACCTTGGGGGAGCGGGAGGGGAAGGGCCCCAGCCCCGGATGAGGGACCCTGGGGCTGGGAGGAAAGGAGTGTCCCAGTTTGAAGGTGAGGCTGCCAGGGTTTACAGACACCACTGACTGTGAATAGAGTTGCGTGTCCTTGTGCGGAGGGAGAGGCCCTTGTGAGTGAGTCAGGGGCTATCCTTGCCTGAGCCAAGAGGTCTTAAAGAGGGCTTACATGGTCCTGTTTGAACCCTCCAGCCACCCAAGGAGCCATTCGTGGAGGAGGAAGTGGCCAGGGCTGGCCCACGCCCTGAGGGTGAGTGCTGGAAGCCCAGGCCCGCAGGGCAGGGGGCTGTGTTCTCCCCTCAGAACCTACCAGCAGCTCCCAGGCCCATTTCACAGATGAGAAAAACTGAGGCTCAGAGAAGCTAAGGGTGGGTGCCTGGGACTGAACTCAGCTGGAACCTGGCCTTCTGATCCCCTTGGGATTCTCCTCTTCTCCTCTGCCTCTGACTTAACTTCCTCAGCAGGGTAGGAACGGGCTCTCTCTGAGGCCCCAGACCTAAGGTATGAGGGATTCTTTTCCAGAGACTCAGGAGGCCACCCCTACCCTGCTGACTTCCCTCCAAGCCCAGGTCGCTGTGGTTCCAGAAGTAAACAGGTACAGCACAGTCCTCTCCTCAGCTCAGTCCCAGCCCCACCCCACTGGGGACCCATGGTGCGGGGGAGGTGCACTGCCCTCAGGTCTGTGGTCATTCCCAGCCGAAGACCTGGAGCATCCTGGGAATTGGCTAAAGGGAGCTTCAGGCGGAGGGTGGAGGACTGCTGGGCTTCCAGAAGCTTCTCAGGGCTTGCATGAAATGCAGGTCCAGTGTGACCAGAGCTTCTGATTTTCCCAATGAGCCAAAAATCCAGGTTTTTACCTGACATCTCCCAGTTGGCTCAAACATTTCAGACCACAGCGCACGCATGTCAACACCAAGCACATCTTAGGCTGGGGCAAGTCTTGTCTGTGACCCTCAGATTAAGGCTGATCAGCTTGAGCCATGAGGGAAATGCCCCACAAGAAACCCTCAGCCCTCCTGGAGTGCAGGATGTGTGTGGAGCATGGGGCAGGGTGCCCTGGACAGTGAGCGGGGTGACGAGGTTACAGAGAACACTCAGCTGCTTGATACCATGAGCTGAGCGGGCTGGGCTTGGAATGGCACCAGGCAGGTCTGACCTCATGGGTTGATGGCCTCATTTTCCAGAGATGGGCACAAGGTTCGGGGGGAGGTGATGTGCCTGGGGTGTCACAGTGGAGGTGGTCTGGGATTCAGACCCGATTCTTTAGGACACTGTGGACTAGGAGCAGGGAGGGGGAGGGGAGGTCGAGGCAGGCGAGTATCCCTGTCCACTCCAGTCCCAGCAGCTGGGTGCTGACCTGGCTCAGGAAAGGCATGGAGAAGGTCGTCCCGCAGCCCGTCTACAGCAGCCGGGCAGCCCAGAATGCCACTACTGGCTCGGAGGACCCTGCTCAGGTACTAGGGGCTGGGAGCTCAGGAGGGTTCAGGTGGGGGAGGAGCTGGTGGGAGCCAGCACAGCCTGAGCTTGAGATCTTGCTCTTAGCCTATGTCCGTCTTTCTGTCTGTCTTCGGCAGGCTGGAGCACGGATGCTTGGGCACTGCAGCACTGGGCGCCCAGGTAGGGCCAGAAGGCAGGATGACTTTTCAGGGGTGGGGGAGGAGGGTGCTGTTGGGAGGGACCCAGACTATGGGGAGTCCAAAGGGGCCAGAGCTTCTCATCTGTCTGGCCCTGGCTTTGAACCTGGGTTTGCACTGGGCTCTTGCTGCCTGCTCCAGGCTGACTGGGGGGCTCTGGCAGGCTGCCTGCTGCTGACCACCTTAATTTTCTGCCCTGCAGAGTATGCAGATGGACGCAGTGAGGCCCCCAGGGCCCAAGACACTGAGTGAGTCTCCAACACTGGAAACTGTTTTGGGAGTCCCCGAGCCTTGTCTGTAGTGGGGGTGGTAGGAGGACTGTGTCCAGAACCAAGGGTATTGGGTTCAGGAGTAGAGTCTACTTCCATCTCCGTGTGTGACCTTGGACATGCCTCTCGGCGATTCTGGACCTCACTTTTCTCATCCATAAAATGGGGATGATGGGCTCCGTCCTGCCTATGGTTTGTTGTGCTAACCCTGGGAGGTCCCGGTGGCGGCCACCTTCTGAGAATGAGAGGGGGTATGGGTGAGTGCGGCGCAGATGGGTTTCATGGAGGTGGGCTCCGTGTGGAGTGCTGAGGCAGGACCTGGACCACTGTGGGGGGCTCAGGGTGCTTGCGTTGACCTCACAGTTGACAATAGCTTCTGACTTTTAGAGCTGGTAGAGGGGGCTGCTGCCTGGCCAGTGAGGGTGGAAGGCAGGGTGGGGACTGTGGCAAACTGGGGAGTACATGCCTGCCACAGTGGGGGACCCTGCAGGAGGGCTGGTCCAGGGTGGCCAGATCCTCCAGTTTTTCAAGAGAAGTTAGAAATATAGGTTTTTACCTAGAATCCTTAATTTTTGCATGTTGCCAACTAATTGAAAAGTTTCCAGAACAGAAGCCCTAAGGCTCCCTTTGCAATCTTCGCTGGCAGTCCAGGGTCATGCAGTCATCTCCATTCATTCATTCACTCATTCATTCATCAGACTGCTGGCTCCTTGAGGGCAGGGGCTTTTGTCCTGGTCACTATTGAAAGCCTGGTGCCCAGCACAGTGCCGGCTGTAAAGTCGGGGCTCAGCACATAGGGGATGAGCGAATGCATGAATGAATGGATATATGCAATCCACATTCATTCACTGCTCCAGCTCGCTCTCTATTTCTTTTGCTTCCTGGAGGCCGCCCAGTCAGGGGTCCCCATGGCTGCCCAGCTGACTTTGGGGGCCATCAAAGCAGTTTAGGATGAGGGCACCCAGAGGACTTGCCAGCTTTCTTTTGAGCTAGACCCGAGAGAGGAGCTTCACTGGGGAAGGTGGGGCTCCCTGGAGGTCAGATGGGTCAGAGACCCACCATCTACTTCCCAGGACCATCTACATAACTTGTGGAGCTCAGGCCCCATGTTAAAAAGTTATGATTTCAAGACTGTGCCAGAAGAGCAGTAAGCAAAGCCGGGGCCCCTCTAAGCATGGGGCCCTGTGTGACTGCCTGGGTCATATGCCCTTGAAACCATCCCTGTCTGTCCCAGTCACAGGGAGCCTCCCTGCTGCACTCAGGTTCCCAAGTAGCCCCCACCCCACCTGCTGCCCCAGGAGGCTGAGGCTGGGCCTATTGTTCCAGAGCCTGGTCAAGCCCTGGGTCAGAATCTGAAAATGGCTGAAGCTCCTCCATCACCTTGGGGCCTTAGAGGGCATTTGGTACCAGGCCCCACTGTGCAGAATTGAAGCCAGGGATGAGGAAGGGCTGCTCCAGGCCTAGGTTCCTGTGGGGAGGGCCCACTCCTCCAGGCCACTCAGCTGACCACTAGCCCCTCCACAGGCCTGGGTCCTGGCTGCTTAGGTGGCTTGAGCAGAATCTGGAGAAAGTGCTGCCTCAGCCCCTAAAAGCCTCCAAGGTGAGTTGAGGAGAAGAGGGAGCAGGCAGCTGACCACTGGGAGGGTTTCTGGGGCCCCAGGAAGGACCTGCCTACCCCAGGAGGCTATCTGCAACCCCAGGACTCACAGAGCGGGGTGCTCTCCTCATTGGCGGGGCCTCTGTCTGTCTGGGGAGGAGTGACTGTGGGGTGGGGGGTCATGGAAGGGTGGAGCCCCCTGCCACCCGCCCCGGCCAGGGCAGAGCTGGCTGGGGCAGGGAGAGCCCAGGGCTTGCTCTGATCCATGGCCTGACTCCTGTTTATGACCCAGGGCTGGAGAGACGAGCCTGCAGATGTTGCCCGGGACCCAGGTACAGGGAGAGGAGCCTGGGAGGGGTCTGCCTGGGAGGGTCCTGGGCTGCGCTGGGGGAGAACCTGGGGTCTGGGGGAGCCTGGACAGGACAGACGGACTTTAGCCCTTACCCAGGCTAGGGAAGCATTCAGGGCTTCCCCAGGCAGGTTGTTGGGGGGCACTGGAACCCCTTTCCCAGCCCAGGCTGGGAAGCCAGAGACCTGGGACAGACTTGTGAAGCCTTCCCCTCCCTCAGTTTCCACATCTGTCTGATGATGTGGGTGGTTGGGGTTGGTCCCAAAGGGCTCCCTACTCGGCTGCGTTGGCACCTCGGATCTAGCCTTCTGTGCCCTTGAGGGGTTGCATGAAATCAAGCTGTGGAGTCGTTCACCTCCTGTTCTCCCTGCTGCTATAGAGCCCCCCGGAGCCCCCTTGGAAACGGAGCCCATGCTGCAGGCCCCGGAGATGCCTTCCCCGCCCACCCCCAGCCCCCAGGAACCCGAGGAGAAGCTGGCTTCAGAGCCCCAGCCAGGCCTCCAGGCCTCCTCCCTGCCGCCAGCTGGGGGCCCTGCCAGGTGAGCCACCTGAATGCCACGCCTCCACGGAGAGCAGGGTCAGCGGCTGCCCCAGACAACAGCCAATCTTCACAAAAGGAGTTGTTAAATCACAGAAATAACGCATGCACCTGGAGAAAATGCAAGCCGCTTTACAGGGCCGGTCCCCAGGGCAACCACGTTAGCAGCCTTTTGTCCTTCCCTGGTTCTCTGTGCATATACGAGCTTATGCGCGTATTTCTCCTTTAAACACACACCGGACAGTGGTAAGCTATAGGTACTGTCCTGCACCTTGCTTTCTTCACTTAAAAATGTATCTTAGAGATGGTTCCATTTCACACTTGCAGATCTACTTTGTTCTTCCAGTAGCTGCATGACACTCTATCGTATGGATGGATCAGCTTTGATCTAACCATTCGGTGGACAGTTAGGTTTGTTTTCACTCTTTTGCTGTGATTAATACCCTTTTACATGTACCATTTGCCTCATGTACAAGTAAGCCTGTAGGATAAATTGCCAGAAATGGAGTTGTAGGACCAAAGGATATTCGCATTTATAATTGGAATGAAAACCAGTTGCTGTCAGGTCGGTTCTGACTCATGGTGGCCCCATGTGTGTCAGAGTAGAACTGCGCTCCATAAGATTTTCAATGGCTGATTTTTTGGAAGCAGATTGCCAGGCCTTTCTTCTGAGGGCCTCTGAGTGGGCTTGAACCTCCAGTCTTTCGGTTATTAGTCAAGGGCTTTAATGATTTGCACCACCCAGGGACTCCACAACTGGGATAGGTATTGCAAATGCTCCCACCCCACAGTGAGAGGGGAGCCTGAGCTACCAGCTGGGGTCTGAGCAGTAGTCAGAGGCTTGCCTGGCCAGGGCACTGCTGGTCTTCGAGGCTGGAGACCTGGGTTCTGGTCAGCCTCTGGCCGGCTTGCTGTTGGCCTTGGAGGGATGCCTCTGACCTCAGTTTCCTCTCTCTCCCACCGCAGGCTGGTGGCATGGCTCCTGCACAGGGTGGAGAAGGCCCTTCCGCAGCCGGTGCTCCATGGAAAGGCCAGGGAGCAGGTCAGTGTGGGGCTGGGGAGTTGGGGGCCTGGGGTGTGGTGGTGGTGGGAAGGGTCTTGGGAGCACAGGGGAGGGGGGATGGTCAGCCTGCCATCCTGGGGGTGGGGGTGGTGCACAGCAGGAAGGAGGGAGCCTGCCAGCGCCAGCCAGCCTGCCTGGCCTCCTGTTTGCTCTTCATGCATTCATTCCACACATGTTCTCTGAGGCACCGGGAGCATAGGACTGAGGCGGGCTGGCCCTGCCCTGTCTGCCTGCTTTGAAGGGGGAAGTGGAGAGGTTGTGGAGCTCAGAGAAGGAGCCTCCAGGGACATCAAGGAAGGTTTCCCAGTGGTGGTGACCTCCAACCTGAGACCTGAAGGAGGGGTAGGAAGGGGGAGGGTGACAGTGAAGGGGCCTCCCTAGACACAGGATCAGCATGTACAAAATCCAGAGGCAAACAGGCCTGGAACGTTCTGGAAGGGAGTGCTGCTCCCAGGAAGCCAGTGGTGCCTGTATGCCCACCTAGGAATCCAGAGCTCTGACCCTAGTAACCCAGGCCTCTGACGTTGGGTCCTGGGGCCTGACCTTCTCCCTTTGCGGACAGTTGGGCTTCTTCAAAGATGCACCTGGAGCTGGTACTGGGAGGTGAGAGGCTTGGATTTTAGTTCTGGCTATGTCACTTTGGTCCTGGCCCCGACCCTCTGGGGATCTCAGTTTTCCCACCTGAGCAATGGGCTCAGGATTGTGAGAATGCAGGAAAAGAATGAAGATGTCCAGGTCCAGGAGAGAGGAGGGTCTTGTCTTCTGGGTCATGTGAGTCCTGGCCTGGCTCCTCTGAGCAGGTGTCCATGCTGTGGCTCTCTGGGGCCACCATCCCCCTTTCCTCACCTGACTAAGACTCAGGCTCTCAGAGTGCCCCCACTCCCCTATCATCAGTCCCCTCATTGGCTCTGGGCACAGCAGGACCCTCCTCCCCATTTCATGAGACAACTGAAGCCCAGAGAGGTGGACCAGTGTCATGTGGCTGGAGCCAGAACCCAGTTGTCTGGACCCCAGACCTGCGCTTACTTGTCCACCTGCCCCTCTTCGAGGTCTGGGCCAGCATGAAGTGCATGGGTAGGGGGCTGCATTGGGAGGAGGGCAGGGGCTTCAGGAGCCCTTCCTTGCAGGCTGAGCCCTCAGACTCATGTTCAGGCAGCCTCTGCAGGTGGAGGGAGACCAGTCCCTAATCTTCCAAGAGGAGGCGGGGCCTAGTGGCAGGAACACTCAGTAGATGGAGGCAGGGGGGCCACGGAGGACAGGAGTGGGGCGGGGCAGGGTGGGTGTGGTGCTGGACGGGCGCCATTGTGGAGGAGCCTCCGATGGAGGACGGGAGGAGGCTTTGCATACCTGGGGAGCAGAGGGGAGGGCCTCCCAGGCAAGGCCCAGCTGGGCAAAGGTGCTGGGTGCTGGAAGGAGGGTGGCTGGAGCAGAGAGGGCCTCTGCAGCAGGAGAGGGGAGGCAGGGCAGAGCCAAGCCTGATGCAATGGTATCTCCCCGAGCTTCCCAGGAGGGGGCGAGGGAAGCCCCTCTGGCCCCTGGTAGGTGGGGCCGGGGTGGGGGGTGGCTGAGGCAGGGAGGCTGGTGAGGAAGCTGGGGCAAGTTTTTTTGTTTTCTTTCCCTTTTCTCCGCACGCAGGAGCCTGACTGCCCCGTGACGTGCGACATGCAGACCAGTAAGTGATGCAGTAGTGGGTGTTCGTGTCTGTCTCAGAGTGGGTTGCCTGGGGTCCTCTGGTCTGAGCATGCATGACCAGGGGGGCTGCCCCTGACGGGGCCTGGACTCAGTCGGGGGGCCCAATGGGGGCCTTCGGACGTGGAGCTGAGAGAGCCCCACTCTCGCCCAGCCTCTCGTCAGCCATCCTGGTAGCCAGAGCCCAATGGCTGGTGGAGGCCCTTCCTGGCCACTGGGGAGAGACATGGCGGGGGGCCTAGTCCTTCCAGTTTCTAGCCAGAGATGATAATCCTGAGGCCAAGTGGTGGGCCCCCCGCCTGCTGGAACACCCAGAAAGAGCTCCCATCTTCCCCCTGGCAGCTGGATAAGTGGGTTTGCTAAGCAGGGTCTCTGGTGGATGGGGAGATAAGAGAGGGCTGGGGCCTCGCTGGGGGAGCCAGGCTCCAGAGATTCCAGCCCCTTTGGGCTGGGAGGGCCTCCCCCTCACGGTGGCTGGGTTGAAGAGGTATGTGCTGCCTTTTGTCCCAGCCTCACATCAGGAGCAAGGGTGGAGCCAGCAGGGTGGGACAGTTCCTGGAATGTGGGGGTCGTGGCCCGGGGAGGGGGCGCAGAATCAGCTCTTCCTTCATTTCATGGCCTCCGGAAGGGCATGCAGTAGACAGGGCATACGTTAATTCGTTTGTTCGTTCATCAACAAATAGTTATGGAGGGTCTGGGTGGTGTAAATGGTTAACACACGCTTGACTGCTAACTGAAAGGTTGGAGGTTTGAGTCCACCTTGAGGTGCCTAGGAAGAAAGGCCTGGCGATCTACTTCTGAAAAGGCAGCCATTGAAAATCCTATGGAGCACGGTTCTGCCCTGACACACGTGGGGTCGCCATGAGTTGGAGCCGATTCACCTGCGGCTGGTTTACTATGTGCTGGCCCTGTGATGGGTTCTTGTGGTGAGCAAACAGAGGTCAGGCCTGTGGGTAGTGACGTCCCCTGTTCCAGCCTGGACACAGGCTCCTTAGACCAGGGGCCTTGGTGTTCTAGGGCTGCCCCCCACCATGTCTGCAAGGCTGTAAACAACCCCAGCCTCCCCAGGCTGATGTTAGTCATAGTGAACTCTGGGGCTGGGGTCACCCACTGTGGACTGGAGCCTGGACAGACAGCCTCTGGAGCTCGGGTCTGTCGGAGCCACTGTGGGTTGTGATGGGGTTCATAGTGATCACAATACAACATGAGGAGGGTGCTACCCGGTGCGGCCAGGCTGCTGGCCTTCAGAGCAGGGTGGGCTGTGTCTCATGGCACCCATGGTACTCAGGGCTACCCTGGGAGGATGCAGGGCAGTGACCTCCACTGCTGTTGGAGCAGGCAGGGGCAGAGCTCAGAGAGCCTTGAGGCTTGTCCAAGGTGACAGAGCAAGTTCTTGGTGGACAGGACGGTGCCTAGAGCCCACTGGTCTGGCAGCAGCTGCTCAGGCAGGCAAAGGTTAGAGAGGTCATTACCACAAAGAGACCCTCCAGAGGCCTTGGAGAGGCCTGAGAACAGAACATCACCCCCCATCTTCCTCCCTGCTCCTCTGCAAGGAGGCAGGATCTAAGCCAGCGCAAGCGGGGCCTCCCTTGCAGCTCCTGGAATGTGGAGGTCATGGCTGGGCAGCGTGCAGCATGGGGGCAGACTCAGTACAGGGGCCAGGAATTGGGGTCATGCCGAGGGGCTGGGGCTGAGTGTCTCTTCTTCTTCCTGCTCTTCCCCAGCTCCCCCTGGCATTCACTCATTCACCCCCTCATCCATTCTTACCCTCCATCTGTCCGTCCAGACGCCCACCTATCTGTCTTCCCCTTTTGTTTCAGGGGAGGTGACAGCTGGAGGCCTCTGAAACAAGGGAGAAGGGAGCCTGGGAGAGTGTGGATGGACAAACGAACGGATGGATGGAAGGAAAGAAGGGTGCTCAGAAGAGAAAAGCTGCACGAGAGGGGGAAGGGAGGTGACTGGCCATCCCCTACCCTACTTGAATAGGGTACCCCTGCCCCTCCAGATTCCCCCAGGCAGGGGTGAGAGGCCAGAGTCACCTACGCCAGCCCCAGAGCCTCCTCTAGGGACCCTGGCGCATATGAAGGACCAAGACCAGCCACTTTCCATCAGCAGGAGGCAAGGTGTGAGATTTAGGCTAGACTGCAGGGGGACTTCCCTGCTGGAAGGGTGTGGACAAACCCTGAGAGGACTCTACCCTGAACCTCTCTGAGAGGACGCCTGCACTGCCCTTAGCACGGGCCTGGCACAGCCAGTACTCCTCCGGACACCGTTTCCCCAGAAGAGCTTCTCCCGGCCACGTGGCCGCCCTCTGGGTCAGGACTGCCAGTGGACAGCGACAAACAGTTTTAACATTTTAATTGGCATTAAAAAAGCATACATTAACACATCAAACCTGTGATGCCATGATATTATTGCTTACCCGTTGCCCATTGCCGTAGAGTCTGTTCTGATTTGAAGAGTATGGAGAGTCTGGGAATCTGCATTTTTGAGAAGCACCCACTCCCCTAGGTGATTCTGATGATGGGGGTAGGGGGCTGGGACCACACTTTGAAAACCATGAAGTCAGTGAGAGAACAGTGCTTGGGGCCCAGGTGGGAGGAGATGGGGGCAGGGCCAGGGAGAGGTAGAGGGATGGGGGGGAGGGGGTCACATCCCATGCCTGGACATGGGGGCCCTGGGGGTGTGCAAAGAGAAGTTGCTAGGGGGACTTTCCCCACCTCCAATGTTTGTTTAGCCCCAAAGTAATCTTTGTCAAGTCACTCTACCCCACTGCCCTCAATGACTCCCCATTGCCTACAGCCCTTGTTGTTAGGTGGCTCTGAGTCACTTCCGACTCATAGCAACCCCATGTACAACAGAACAAAACAGTGCCTGGTCGGTTGGCCAGGTGGCTGTTTTCCAAATTTCTTGGCATAGACAAGTGAGTACCTCCAGCCTAGTACCCGTTTGTTGGAACATCTCAGTTGGTATTCCGTCAATTCCTGGAGTCTTGTTTTTCACCAAAAATGCCTTCAGTGGAGCTTGGACTTCTTTCATTAACATCATTGGTTCTTGATCATATGCTACCCCCGAAATGGTTGAAAGTCGACCAATTCTTTTCGGTACAGTGATTGTGTATTTCTTTCATCTTCTTTTGATGCTTCCTTCATCGTTCAATATTTTGCCCATAGAATCCTCTGATATTGCAACTCAAAGCTTGAATTTTTTCCTCAGTTCTTTCAGCCTGAGAAATGCAGAACGTGTTCTTCCCTTTTGGTTTTCTGACTCCAGGTCTTTGCAAATTTCATTATAATACTTTATTATGTCTTCTCAAGCTGCCCTTTGAAATCTTCTGTTCAGCTCTTTTACTTCATCATTTTTTCCATTCACTTTAGTTTCTGTACGTTCAAGAGCAAGTTTCAGAGTCTCTTCCGACATCCATTTTGGTCTTTTCTTTCTTTCCTATGACCTTTTGCTTTCTTCGTGTATAATGTCCTTGATGTTCTCCCACAACTCATCTGGTCTTCAGTCATGAGTATTCAGTGTGTCAAATCTATTCTTGACACGGTCTCTAAATCTAGGTGGGATATATTCAAGGTTGTATTTTGACTCTATTGGACTTGTTCTAATTTTCTTCAGCTTCAACTTGAACTTGCATATGAGCAATTGATGGTCTGTTCCGAAGTCAGGCCCTGGCCTTGTTCTGATTCATGATACAGAGCTTCTCCATGGTCTCTTTCCACAGATGTAGTCGATTTGATTCCTGTCTATTCCGTCTGGCAAGATCCACGTGTATAGTCGCTGTTTATGTTGTTGAAAAAAGGTAATTGCAATGAATAAGTTGTTGGTCTTGCAAAATTCTGTCATGCAATCTCCAGCCTCGTTTCTATCGCAAAGGCCATATTTTCCCACTAACCAATCCTTCTTCTTTGTTTCCAACTTTTGAATTTCAATCATCAATAATTATCAATGCACCTTGATTGCGTGTTTGATCAGTTTCAGACTGCAGAAGTTGGTAAAAGTCTTCAATTTCTTCATCGTTGGCATTAGTGGTTGGTATGTAAATTTGAGTAATATTCGTATAAACTGGTCTTCCTTGTAGGCCTGTGGATATTATCCTATCACTGACAGTGTTGTACTTCAGGATAGATCTTGAAATGTTCTTTTTGACAATGAATACAAAGCCATTCCTCTTCAATTTGTCATTCCTGACACAGTAGAACATATGATTGTCCGATTCAAAATGGCCAGTACCAGTCCATTTCAGCTCACTAATGCCTAGACTATTGACTACCCATCTTTATGTGTTTCATTTCATTTTTGACGACTTCCAGTTTTCCTAGATTCATACTTCGTACATTTCATGTTCCAGTTATTAATGGATGTTTGCAGCTGTTTCTTCTCATTTTGAGTCATGCCACATCAACAAATGAAGGTCCTGAAAGCTTTACGCCATCCATATCATTAAAGTCGATTCTACTTTGAGGAGGCAGCTCTTCCCCAGTCATCTTTTGAGTGCCTTCCAATCTGAGGGTCTCATCTTCTGGCACTGTATCAGACAGTGTTCTGCTGCTATTCATAAGGTTTTCACTGGCTAATTCTTTTCAGAAGTAGACTGCTGGGTCCTTCTTCCTAGTCTGTCTTAGTCTGGAAGCTCCGCTGAAACCTGTCTACCATGGGTGACCCTGCTGGCGTTTGAAATACCAGTAGCAAAGCTTCCAGCATCACAGCAACGTGCAAGCCCCCACAGGACGACAAACTGACAGAAGAGTGGCGGGCCTACAGCCTAGTCGCCTAAAATCAGGCCCTGCTTTATCTTTGGCGTCAAGGACTACTCCCCCACACCCCTTCCCTCTCCTACCTCCAGGCATTTGCTCACTTTGTTCCCGACCAAGAATTGCCCTCCCCTCACTGGCAGTTTGAGGAGCCCTGGTGGTACAGTGGTTAAGTGCTCGGCTTGCCAGCCACTCCTCGTGAGGAAGATGCGGCAGTCTGCTTCTGTAATGATTACAGCCTTGGAAGCCCTATGGGGCGGTTCTCCTCTGTAGCACATGGGATCCCCATGAGTCTGAACTGACTCCACGGCAATGGGTTTGGTTTTTTTTTCCCCTGTCTTTTCTGGGAGGAGGCCTTGGCCTCACAGCTGTGCCCTGGGGCTTCTTGTTTGCCAATCCTGGAAACAGGGCTCCTTCCCCAGATGGGTTACTGGCCTTCCCTGCTGGGGTTAGGGCCCCATTCGATGGCCTGAGGGACATCTAGGCTGGCAGAGAGGACACTGGTCAGGAGGTGGCATTCTCATGAGGGCTCCAGGGGCAGAATTTATGTTCCCGATGGAACAGCAGTTCCCATGAGACCTTGAGCACCTACATTACCTCAGTGGTCCCACCTGTGACCTGGCACCAGGATAGAGGAGGCGGGGTGGGGGGAGCTGGAAAAGCCCTGAGCACTGTGATCAGATGCCCACAGAGAGGCGCTCAGCTCCTCTGCCAGGCCTGCTCGGGGGGCCCTGCCCAGGGTGGGTGTGGCAGAGTCCCCCCTCCTTGTCCATCCTGGCTGGCGACCTCGAGTATGGTCCTCCTCTTCTTCTCAGAGCTGAAGAGTCATTGGCTGTAAAGTGGGGACAACATAGGGCCCGCCCTGCAGGCTTGTCTTAAAGATGAAAGGAAGCAATGCTTGTAAAATTCTCACTCACCAAACAGTACCTACAAAGAAAAGACGAATGCAAAGGAAAGACTCGTAAGCAAGCAGCCGCAGCTCTTTAAGTACACCAAGTGCTGGGTTAATCCATTACAGGGTGGCCACTAATGTCTGTGCTGTGCTCATAGGGCACGTTTGTTACCTGGAATCACACACCAGGGACAGGCTGTGCCCTGTGGAGGAGAGCCCGGAATTTGGTGTCAGGAGACCTGGCGCTGCCTCCGACTTCCTGTGTGGCCTTAGACAAGTCATTTGGCCTCTCTGAGCTGGCTCCCTGGTCTATCAACCTTTCGGGTTGCTGCCAAAGCTAACAAGCTCACAGGCAAGGGGATCTTCTGCCCCCTGGGTGTCCCCTGCTAGGCCCAGGCAGGAACTTGCACCCGGAGTGGCTGCTTGGGGTGGAGATGCTACACCATTGCTGGACTGCTGCATGTAGCAGCACACAGACCAGTCCCACTACTGGACGGAGGGCCACACGTGGGGGCGCCTCCCCTGATCAATCCGTAGGCCACTCGCTGAGCCAGAGACAGCCAGCACTGGCTGTGGAAAGGGCTAGTTCAGGACACGTTGGGGGCTTCCTCCGTGAAGGGGGGATGACGTCTGTTCCCTGGGAGGGTGGGGGTGGTAGAGGGAGGTGACTCTTGGAAGACAGATGACACAGCACCTGGCCCATGGGAAGCATCCCTTAAAAGAAAACATCCCATAACCTGTGTCTCAGGTTGCTCGTCTATAAAATGGGAAATAAAAAAAAAACAAAAGAAGGAAAACAGATGGGGGTAATCAACGTTCCCACCTCGGAGGACTGATCTGAGAGTTCATCAGGTTGATCCAAGTTACGCCACTTAGCACAGGGGCTGGCACTACTATGCGCGCTGCCATTGTCGCTGTTATTATTATTATTATGCTGTACCACAAACAATAACTTCCAAAGTCACAGGTCACAGGATAAGATTCGAAGCCAGCCTCTATTTAAAGTCACAGTTACTAATTCATGCTCGGCTTGAGGGCCACCAAGGTCGCTGGAGCTCTTTGAAAATACCTGGTATTCAGGCACTCTCCTGTTTCCTCCTTAACGACTGCCTGGGAGTGGGGTTCCTCATGAGACTCCCCTGCATCCACTTCTGCCAAGCCCGCAGCTCTGAAGTGTTTTCATTAGTAGGGACCATGGTAAGTGTAGAAATGTCAAAAATCACAGGCTCCTATCCAAAGGTGGAACCACCTTCACCCAGGAAGCCAAATTCCCTTGGAGAGTGGAACTTCTAGGTCCTGGAAGGAGAGAAAGACTCCCAGAAGTGGGTACAGAGATTATAAGCATGTGGTATGCTGTCACCAGGGGGTGGCATCTAGACAGCAGGCAGTGAACAGGCTCTCTGCATCCCGTGGGACAATCAGGCCACCCTGCACCTGAATATGGCAAGGTGGACCCCCAGCCTGGGTCTCTTGGCATCACTTGAGTTGCTGTGATTAGAATTTACTTTAGTGGGGTCCTGATCTGGTTGCTCTGGGTCCCAGCTGGCCCACAAGTGTCTTTGTTTGGATTCTGTACAAACCCCCTGAAGGAGACCCCAACTAGAAGCAAACTTGATCAACTGTAATCGAGAGCTCTGGCTTAAGAGGAAAAAGAGGGGAAAAAAATCATGGGAAGAGACCGGGTGAATCATTGTAGGCCTCAACCCATAGCTTCACCCCGATCTGGTTGTACATGGCTCTGTCGATAACAAGCCTTTCCCCGCTGCTTGGCTGAGAGAGTGCCCTGCTGGTGATGGCCAAGGTTCCCTGTGAGGCGCTGGGCCCACTATTAACCCATACCCCTCAAACGGCTCCTCCTGTGTCCCCCGCAGTCAGCATCCTCCCCGGAGGGCCAGTGGAGCCTGAGCTTGTCCTTGAGGAGGTGGACTCTCACTGGGAGGAGGCGGAGCGAGAGGAAGGCAGCCCCAGCCCACAGGGTGCGGAGGCGGCTCCTGCTTGCCAAGAGGAGCACGGGGTCGTGGAGCAGATGCCCAGGTAGGGAGCCGGGAAGACCCTGAAAAAAAATAGCTATTGTTTGAGAAGACAACAGGCACATAGTGTGAAATCCCAAAGGTATAAAAGGGCATGGTGTGGGGGACAAAGCCTGCCCCCCTTCCCCGGTGCCCAGACAGCTGCCCCCCTCCGCATGGGCAACCACAGCTACCAGGTTCTTGTGTGCCAGTCCAGAGATAGTCTGTCGCATACAGCCATAGATCCCTCTCTTTTTGTAAAATTGATTTTTAAATTTTTTATTTTATTGTGCTAAAACAAACATACACATATAACATAAAATGTGCCACTTTAACTCTTTGTAAGTGTATAGTTCTACTCTGCCCTATGGGACCGCTATTGAGTTGGAATCAACTCAACGGCAAGGGTTTTTTTTTTTAAGTGTACAATTCAATGGCATTAATTAAATTCACAGTGTTGTACAACCATCACCACCATCACCTGTTTCCAAAACTTTTTCATGCTCAGCAGAAACCTTGTAGCCATTAAGCAATAACACCCTCTTCTGCCCTCCCCCCAGCCCCTGGTAGCCCCCAATGTCCTATCTGTCCGTGGGAATTTTCTCTATGGGATCAGTATTTAGCATGAGTGGGGCCCCCTTCTTTTTTTGCACAAAAGCTAGGGTACCCTGTGCACTGTTCTGCAACTTGCTGTATTCATTTAACAATATACCTTGGGGTTTTCCCACCTTCGGTACATGGAGATCATCCTCATTTTTTTTTTTTTTAACAACTGCATAGTGTTCCATCATATGGAGGGACCATAATTTATTTAACCTGTCCACCCTTGAGGGACATTTAGGTTGATTCCATGGTTTTGTTGCTAGAAACAATTCTGCAGCAAACACCCTTGGATGCATGTGTTTGCACAAGAACTTGAGCCCACCTGCAGGATTTGTTTCCAGGGGTGGGGTTGCTGGGTCATAGGGGTAGGAATGTGCAATTGTGGTAGTGATGGCCACATTGCCCTCTACAGGGATGTAACAATTTTCACTCCCAACAGTGGTTGGGTGATAGCCATCCAAGCTGGGAGGGGGCAGTGTCTCAGACATCCACAAGCCCAGGGCCTACATTGCACAGATGGGGAAACTGAGGCCCAGAGGGGCTCACCGGCTGGCCTTGGGTCACCACCAGGACAGTGGGGTCTGGGAGAGTGAAGAGGCCTCATTGCTAGAGAGACCTCAGGACTCCTCAGGTGCGTGCCTCACGTCTGAGCCTTGGGCGGGGATCCCAAGGCTGGGTCTCGAGAGTGGGCTGGGACATTCTGTAGATGGGGCATCCTACAGAAAATGGGGCAGGAGGTGGGCTGGGGAGCCAGCTGCAGGTGAACTTGCCTCTGACCCCATCTCAGGGAGCTGCTCTGGATTGAAGAGGAGAATGAAGATGAGGAAGAGGATGGAGAAGAAGAGGAAGAGGGGCAGGAGGAAGAGGAAGTGCTTGAGTAAGGCATTTGTCCACCTGGTTCTGGCTCTGCTTGGTTAAGGGATGCCCCAGGGAGGTGGGGTTTCACAGAGGGGCTAGGGATGCTCTCTGAAGCTCATGGGGTCCTCTTTTTTGTTCTGTGCTGTGTCCCACTGGGCACTGACCCAAAGAGGCCAGAGAAAGTGGGGGGGCTCCCCACTGGTGTCTCAGGATTCAACCACCCACCACTCAATACCCTCTCCTCCCAACACATACGCTAGAAGACAACCTCCATGAGGGCTGGGATTTTTGTCTGTTGGGTTCACTGCCATTTACCCCGAGCCCTAGTATACAGTAGGCATCAAATAAATGTTGGTTGAATGAATGGATGTATGGATGAATGGTCATATACAGTAGGCTCATGGTTCTCCCCTGTTATTAACAAGCCATAGCATAGGGCTGTCCTTTCCTGCCACACCCCCTAGTGGTCCCATGGTTGCCTTTGACGTCTTCTAAGCCTTCCCTAAAACACAAAACCAACCAATTGCCATTGAGTCAACTCCAAACTTATGGTGACCCATGTATCAGAGCAGAACTGGGCTCCATAGGGCTTGCAATGGCTGATTTTTTGGAAGTACATTGCCAGGTCTTTCTTCAGAAGAGCCTCTGGGTGGAATCGAATCTCCAACCTTTTGGTTAGCAGCTGAGCATGCTAATCTTTTACACTACCCAGGGACTCCTTAAGGCTTTCCTGGGGCTGCTCTATTGTCCATTAATGGTTGATTCTTCACCTACATCCATGCAGATTTCGATATTAAAACCTGAAAATAGTTCCATTAAAATAAAGGTTAGAAATGGAGATCAGGGAGGGGCTGTTAGGAATGTGGGTCAACAGAGGACAGATGAATCAGTGGACAGAGGTGGAGATGGATAGTAGACAATTGCACCTGAGCCTGGAGTTAGCACAGGGAGAGGTTGGACTGAAGAAGTAAATTCAGAAGTCTGGTCCTGTGGCTAGGCTGGAGGAGATGCCCTCGGAAGGGAGCATGGGTGGAGGTGAGGCCAAGGTCAGATTCGAGGTTGGGCTTTGAGGAGGAATCAGTGAAGGGCTGAGCAGGAGCCACTGGTGGGGTGGGGGAAGGAGAGAGTGGAGTCCTGAAGCCAAGTTAGAAAGTGTTTCAAGGAGAAGGGGGTGATTCGCTGTGTCAGGGAACAGTGGCTGGTGGGAATGGTGGGAGATGACGCTGCAGAAGCAATGGGGCCTGACTGTAAAGTCCTTGAACTTGATTTCCTGGGAGCAATGGGGAGCCATTGATGGTCTGTGAGCAGGGGAGTGACACAATCTGGTAGCTGTGTTGGGGAGAGACTGAGGCAGGGAGAGCAGTGAGGAGGCTGCTATCATAGATCAGGCAATCTGTCCCCTTGCCCCACCCCCCTTGCATTGTTCCTTGTCCCTGCCACTCTGCCCACCGTGCTGCCCCCTGCACCACATCCTTCTTCCCTGAGTGTTAGGAGCATGCACGTTGGCATCAGAAACTCAGCTTTGTTCCTCTTAGGTGAGTGACCTGGGCAAGAGCTTCGCCTCCGCATGGGTAAATGGGGATAATAATAGTCCCCTGAAGAGTGGTGTTTTGTGATAATGGATGTGGTAGGACCCGGCCTGGAGTAAGTGCCTTGTTAATGGTCACTCATGTTCTTGACCCCTCATTGGGTCACTTTTGGTTATAGTCAGGAAATAGTTAAACCATGAGGTCAACAGAGGGTTTCAGAGCTGGACGTCTGCTCAGAGTCATCTGCTTTTAGTCCACCCTTGTCCACTTCACATGTAATCTTTCTATCATTGGCAAAAGGCTTCATAGTCTCTACTTGCTTACCTCCGGTGATGGGGAGCTCATGATCTCCCAAAGGCTGTCCATTCCATCCATGTGCACCACTGACTTATGACATTATTTCTTAGACCAAAACTAAGCTTGCTTCCCTGTGGCTTCTGCAACCCAAACCTAATTCTGCCCTCTGGGCTCCCCCAGAGCAAGACTGCTCTAACTAACAGGAGACTGCCCTTCAGATAGGTAAGGACCTCAGGCACTGTCTAGCAGCCTTAGTGCACCTTATTTGTCCTCTGCTTTCCACCACCTCTTCGTAGCGCATATAGCTGAGTCCCTCCTTCCACTAACCCTGTGCGCCTAACAATGTGTTTTTTTTAAGTTGCCACTGCCCTTGAGTTGAATTACCTTGAAGGCTAGTGCTGAAATGTGCTCACACATAGGCACACGCCCTAACTATACACATGTACACAGTGCACAGTACCCACAGGTGCACACAGGCCTATCTACACAATACACGTGTATACCAGCACATAGACACAGACGCACACATCAGGCTATGCACGCATATGTGTACAAGCATGCACACTTATACCCACACACATCCTGCATATATGCACCCACAGACGCCTATTACACTCATCCGCGTGTCCACACACATACATGCACATACACACAGGTACACAAATACACGCTTGCACACACTCACACTACACACTTGCACACCTACTCACACACGCAAGCACACGCATATGGAGTTAACCACATACACTGCAGGCACGTCCCTGCTCATTCAAATATTCCCCCAGAGTTTTTTTAAAACATATTTTATTTTATTTTTCTATAATTTCTTTTAGTTTTGTTCTTGTTGTTGAGAATATACACAGCAGAACGTACACCGATTCAACCATTTCTACAATTCAGTGACTTTGATTACATTCTTCAAGTTGTGCAACCATTTTCACCCTCCTTTTTTGAGTTGCTCTTCCCCCATTAACATAAACTCACTGTCCCCCAAGTTTCCTATCTAATTTTTCGAGTTGCTGTTGTCAGCTTGATCCTGTATAGACAGGTCTTGAAAGAGCACAATGCTCAAGGCAGACATTCTTTACTAGTTAAACTAAACTATTGTTTGGTTTTAAGAAGACTTTAGGGGATATGTTTGGTTTACGATCTAAGGTTTGTCCCCTCGAGTTTTTAACTCGAGAAACTTTTGGGTCCCTTTCCCCAAGTTGGGACAAGGGTGCCCGTGGTGGCAGGGTGAGCAACCCCAGGGCCAGAGAGTGTGAGGCCTGTGGCAGGTGAAGCTGAGCTGTCATGGGCTGGGGAGGCCTGCTCTGGGCCAGCTTTGCAGAGGCACAGGGGTTACTGACGACATGAGTGCCCTGGAAACGGGCAGCTGGTCTCCTAGCGACCCAGTCTCTGCCGGCAACAGCTCGGCTTTTCCTAGCAACCGCTGCCTTTTGGTCCCCACCTGGGCTCCCCGGGGGGATTTCTGCAGAGTTCCCTGCACATCGCCTCAATCTGATTAGAGGCAGGAAGGACTGGTGGCTTGTCTGCCACCAGCCAGACTGGCTCCGGCTCCAGAGCTGTCCTCGCAGGCGTGGGGCTGGCCGGAGCTCTCCAAATTCCCCCCTTGCACGCACCGCCCCGGGACTGGGATGAGTGTCACAGCCCCCAGCTGAACACTAACACCATGGGCGTCCTCGTCGGCAAAGACAGCAAGACCCAAGTAGGTACCTGCTGCTCCCTACGGCCCCCTCCCTCCCTTTTTCCTTCTTGGGTTGTGGAGGAAGAGTCTGTGAAGGTGACAGTGAGGACCTTAACTTGGGGGACACAGCATGCTGGGTGGCTTAGGGGAGGCAGAGTAGGCTGGTCAATGCTCACAAGCTGGCTGCTGCCGCTATTCCAGGCCTTTAACTTGGCCAGCCAGGGGATACTCTGGGATGCCCTCCTTGGCCAGCTTCTGTCTGCTCCTCTGCTTGGGAATCCCCAGGACTTGGGAACTTTCCAGAATCGCTGGCCTGCCTCTTCTGGGCTGGGTAAGAAGGAGTCTTGGCAGGCACTGGGCACAGCATTGAGCAGGGACAACGTGGCTTTGGTACAAGACCCCCAAACAGCCCCTGGTGACACTGACACGGCCACTGCTGGGCTCATTAGGCATCCTGATTGCTGGGGATGTGTGTGCAAAACGTTCCCCAATCCACGTGAGTGATTTCATAACCCAGCAGATATTCTTCTCCTCTGTGATTAATAATAGCAGTTGCAAGAACAGTAATAATAGTAACAGCTGCCATTTGGTTATTGTCACTCCCCCTCACCCCCAGCACCAGACACTGTGTTAAGGGCACCCTGATGGCAGATTCTATTATTAATCCCACTTCGCAGATGCGAGAACTGAGGTTCAAAGATGGTACTCTGCATGTGGAAGGGTGCCCTGCCAGCAAGTGCAGAGCTAAGATTCTCTCCCAAGTGGACCTGGCTCCAGAGCAAACCCTTGGCACCACAGATGAGGAAAGATGCTGCCCGTTTTCTGAGACAGAGGAATCCCAAGAACAACGCCTGACATGGGAAGTCCTTTTTGACTTTCCTTGAGATTGTCACTGGCCCTTGGAACCCCTCAGATATGTCAGGCTGTACAGGCTGGGCAAGACCTGCCCCGTTTGACAGATGAGCAGACAGGCAGCCCGAGGGCCTTCCGGAGACTTGCCCAATCCGGACAGAGATTTCAGGGCCCGTGCTGGAATGAGTGAGGCCTGACCGAATAGAACCTCAGGAAGCCTCGGGCCAGGTCTGTGAGCAGTTCATTGCCTGACCTCTGTGCTTTACGCCCTGAGAGCTGAGGAGGGTCATATCTGTGTTAGGGAAGGATAACCAGAGCAGCCGCCTTCCAGCAGACAGCCCATCTCCAATCCTGCTGTGCAGGGCCGACTTACTCTTTTGACACAGTAGGCACAGGACCCTCAATGCTTTTAACCAGTTGAAAGTCGAGTTTGACTCAGAGTGAACCCTGTGTATGTCAGAGTAGCCTCCATAGAGCTTTCAGTGACTGAGTTTCAGAAGTTTTTGCCAGACCTTTCTTCCTAGGTGCCTCTGGGTGGACTTGAACCTCTGACCATTCAGTTAGCAGCTGAGCTCATTAACTGTTTACACCACCAGGGACTTCTCAATACTTTCAGGGGCCCACAAAAATGCTTTAATTTCTTTTAAAATGAGAAGAGAAAAAGAACTGTTAGATTGAAGAGAATGTTTTAATATATAATATTAATATATTAATCTTGATATGAATGCAATCATAAGATAAAAATTTTAACTTTTTTTTTAATGGAGGAAGGGGCCTTTGAAGGCTGCAGTGCCCTGGGGCCCACGAAAGTCATTCTGTGGGCCACCTTTGGGGACTTGGGTCTTTTTAAGAAAATCTGTTTCTTCCTGGGCATGGTGGGGAGTATTGCTCTGAGAATTTGGGCCCTTCAGATGGAAATATTTATACAACAGAGGGGACAGCGAGTTGGGTGCTTGGATCATCCGGACACCTGCCTTCCTGCTTGACGTCACGTGGGGCTGTGTGGACACTCAGAAGCAGGCCTGGAGTGGGGTGTTAAGAACACAGCCTTGGAGGGCAGGGGTGGTCAGTGGAGGTTTTCGTGTTGCTATGATGTTTCCAGACTAAGACAGACTAGAAAGAAAGGCCTGGTGATCAATGAAAACCCTATGGATCACAATTGTCCAATCCCGTTGTGCATGGGGTCGCCATGACTCAGGAGCTGACTTGATGGCAGCTGACAATAAGAACAAAACTTCCAAAATGCAGCTTAAACAAAGAACACTGCCTTGGCGTCAGAGACACTGGAGTTCCACCTAGACTCAGCCTCATACAGGCAGTGTGATGGGGACAGGCCATGTGACCTTTCTGAGACTCCGTTTTCTAAGCTGGAATGGGACCTGTCACAGCCCAGGCTCGCAGGGTTATTTGGGTGAGGATTCAGGAGACACTGTGGGCAAAATGCTTGGCCCAGTGCCTGGCACACCGCCGTGGGCACTGCTGTGGCAAGTGATTATCGCTGCTTCCTGCTGGCTCCAAACCGTCCGGGGCGGCAATCGTGTGTCCCCATTTTCTCCCCCTCCTCGGCCCTCTGGGAAGAGGGTGATGTATGCTGTGATGAATGGTATGTTTGCTGGGCGGCAGACACACCGTGGAACATCCTCCGTGAGCCCTTCAGGGGCAGGGACCCTCAGGGTGGTGTGGGATCATTAGGAAGCCAGATTTAATTCTAACCACAAAAATCACGTTAGCCCCAATTCTGAGTTATTGTTTAATCCGGAGGTCCCACATGGCATCCAAGGATCCAGTTTAGCCTGGAGACAGACTCTTTCAGAGATTACATATATATATGTCTGTGTATGTGTGCACTTGTGCACAAGTGTGTGTATATATGTATATTAATTTGAATTAATTATCAGTATCTTAAGATCAGGAGGTTTCACCTAAAAAACCTGAATTTCAGGCTTCTCTTGAAACTGAAATAGCTGGCCACCCTGGGCCGCATTCTAAGCAGAGTGAGGCCACCACCTTCAGGTGGGCTCAGGTTCTCTGATTTGCCATAGTCCCCCCATTCCCTGTAGCCTCTCCTGGCCCCATCACCCTGGGACTGTCTGGGCCAGGGATGCCTGCCCCCCTAAGCTGTTGCACTGGGCTCTGAGCTCACAGGTTAGAAAGAACCAAGGGCTGGTTTGAATTTTCTGTGGTTTGGGACAATTGCTGTGTGTTTTTGGCCAGCTGCATTCACCTCTCTGGGCCTCACTTTTCTCACCCTTCCTGGCCTGCCTGCATCACCAAGGTTGCCCGAGACTCTCAGAGGGGAAATGCTAGACATGCAACTGCCACACTGTCCGTGCCCTTTGGGCCACACCCCAGCACAGTTTCTCAGAACTTCCTCCAAGCTTTTCTTCACATGTGCTGTTCCCCGTCCTGGACACCCGCCCCACCCCGCCCAGTCCCTGTGGTAAACTCATCATCCTCAAGGCCCAGCTCGCTGGCCACCTCCTCTGGGAAGCCCTCCTTCCTAGGCAGGGCTGTGGCTGTGTCCTTTGGGCCTTATCCCAGCTCATGCCTCAGCCTGGGTGGTGGTTAGCAGGCCCTGGGGTCTGCCCTGCACTGGGAGCCTTCTGAGGGTGAGGACTTTTCCTTGGGCATCTCTGACCGCTGCTCCTGGCACAGAGCCTGGCACTCAGCAAAGTTCAGGAGGTTTTTTCCACCCCTAACCCTAGCCTTTCCTCCTGCCCCTCGGGGTCACAGTGTCCTGCTGGATAGCTGTCTGGTGACAGAGGCAGAAGAGGAGCAGAGCGGAGTAGGTCGGACCCAGCACCAGAAGGCCTCACACCAGGTACAGAGAAACCCTTTTGACCCCATAGACCAGGTGCCAGGCTGGTACTGGGGAATCTCCAAGGCCTGGGCTGGCACTGGCAGAAGAGACTGAGGCCCTGTCCACTTGGTTTACTAGTGAGGTCCCCACAGGACAGGGAGGAGCAGGGTGGTGGGTACTGCGAGGCCCCGCTGATACCAGAGGCCAAGTGGTATTGGAAGGGACTCAAATGGCCCTGCCTTGGGTGGTGAGTCAGGAGGACCTGGGCTGGAGTCCTCACATGGCTGTGTGGCTCTGGACAAGTTGCCTCCCCACTCTGGGCCTCAGTGGTCACCTTCCTCGGGTTTGTAGGAGGAGCCAAAGGCGCTTGTACACTGTGAAGTGCTGTGCCGGGTGGGGAGCACTGTGGTGGCTGCTTTTGTTGCTTTGTCACCGCGTGCACAGGCTACATGGGGGTTCCTCCCTTATACCTGACAAGTCCAGGTATTGGGACCTGGGGCTCCTGTGGGTACCGCCCTGTACAGGTTGGAGGCCACCTCCCTGGATGCCCCAGGAGGTGGGCTGGCAGGGTCTGACTGGGTGGGTGGTCAGGGCAAGGAGGAGAATTGGGGCCCAGGAGGTCTCCTGAGGGCAGATCTCCTTCCGGGGCTGAGTTAGACTAGGGCTCGGAGGCGGATGATGTGTCTATTTTTTCCAGGAGCTGCAGGAGGAGGAGGTGGCCACCAGCTCAGGAGGTAGGTGTGTGTGATGGGGGTGGGGGTGGTTAGAGAGTAACATCTGGTACGCCCTCAGGCCCGGGGCAGCCTCCATGCAGGAGTTAACCCTTTCACTCTCCACCATCTTCGCACCCAGCCCCTTCCATCCCTCCTTCCCCAGGTCCTGAGGCAAAACCTATCCTCTACATCTTGGGGCCTGATGACAGCCGAGGCCCACAGGACTCCCAGTGGGCCAGGAAACCCTACTCCCAGCCCATCCCTCAATCCTGAGAACTCCAGGAATAGTGGGGACAGAGTTGAGGGGGCCACAGGAGCCAGACAGCTGGGTATAGATGGAGCCCCGGCCTGCAGGGGTGTGTGCCCTGCACGCTCCCAGGCTCCTCAAACTGCTGCTGCTCCAGCCACACTGTGATACGGACAGATACTTTAGGGAATTGAGGCTTAGTGTGTGGCCAGATTAGGCCAAGAGGTCAAGGGCACACACCTGCGCTTCACTCCTGGCTCCATCCTCTTCGCTGTGTGACCCAGAGCCAGTTCCTTGACCTCTCTGAACCGTACCTCCCAAATCAAGAAAAACAGGATTGTTGGGCACAGTGAGGGAGACAAAGTGTAGAAGATGCCTGCACTGTGGCTGGCACTGAGGAAGGGGACGGTCATGGGAACAAGGATGCTTGTGTCCCAGCCAGCAAGTTGGATTGTCACGGGCAGAGGAGAAGGACAGGGCTCCTGTCTCAGATGACCTGAGAGCTCAGATCCCACCCCCTCCCCCGCCCTGGTCTGCCTGGGGTCAAAGTCTTGGTATTTGTGGTTTACCATCTCACCTGCCGCTATCAGAAAACCCAGCCACCTGCGCCTTCCCTGAGTGGGGGTGTGGTGTTTGCCCCAGTGCATGTTGGTGGGTGGGACAAGCAGAACTTGGCAGCTGGTGGAATGAAATCTGCCTCCCTGAACCTCTGGAAGTCGCTATCAGATGCACCCCCAGGATGTCCTTCCCCTGCCAGGACCCTGAGTTCCCACACTCCTGCTCCATCTAACCAGTCCTTGGGAAAGTCCTGGCATGAAGGGCACTCCTTGGGAATGGAGCAGACCCCAACCATGCCCCTGCAGAGCCTGGGGTATGGCACAGAGCATGCAGGGCACCCCACCCTGTCCAAGGCTCTTGGTGGAAACCAGCTTCATTGTGGGGCTCTTCTGCCTGCTGCTTGGAGGCTCACTATCAACATGACTTTCATTGAGCGTCTGCCCAGGGCCAGCTCAGCAGGGAGGGTGGAACGAGGGCCCCCCTGTCCTGAAGAAAACTTTACTCTGGTAGAGGTGGCCGACTCAGTCCCCTGAGAGAATTCCAAATCACATAGGATGTTAATTAATTCAACCTCCAACCCTATACAGAAACTTCTCGGCGTCTGGCCACATGGCTGCTGTGTCTCTAGGCTGCAGTGTATCTGGGCCAACTCGGGCAGGGCCAATACCCTTTAGCTAATATTAGTTGCACCATCAGCTCGGGGCACCTTTTATCGGGCTGCCAGTGTCCCATGCCACCATGGTGCTCAGCCTCTGTGTTCAGTGAATAAATGGAAGTGACAGCTTTGGGAGGTCGTGAGAGACCCCAGGTCCCAACAGTGACGATGCAGAGTGGGGCTTCTCAAACTTTAGAGGCATCAGGATTACCCAGGTGCAGACTCAGGGTCTGGGGGCTGGTAGGGGCAGCTTCCAGTTTTCCATGCCTTCCCCCAGGTGATCTACAGGCAGGTCATCTGGGAACCCCCCTTTGAGAAACATAGAGGCATGTCCATTTGTCCGTCATTACTCAAAAGTGTGGAACCAGTAGCTTTGGCATCACCTGGGAGCTGGTTAGAAATGCAAAGTCTCCGGCCACCCCAGACCTGCTGAATCAGAATCTGCATTGTAACAAGATCGTCTGGTGATTTGTCTGCATATGTAAGCGTTTGAGAGGTACTGGCCTCGAGCCTGGTTCTCAAACTTGCCTGCATGTTGGAATTATTTGGGGAGATTAAAAAAAAAACCTCGATCTCACCCCAAACTATTAAATCAGAATGTCTGGGGTGGGCCCGGGAATCAGTAATGGTTAAACCTCCTAGGTAATTCCGATGTGCAGCCCGTTTGAGAACCAAGGCCCGAGGAGAAGTTATTGCTTCTGGTTGGATGTAGAATTAATTGACCTCTAGGGTTTCTTGGGGATGGAAAATTCTACCAGGCTAAGAATGCGTGAGTCCCAGGTTCTGTGCGTCCAAGGGTCTAAGATTCTAGGCGTTCTGGGTTTTTTATTTCTAACTTATTTTGAGTCTGACATGGGAAATGCTGCGGGTGGTTGGTTAGTAGAGAGAGCGGGAGAAGTTGGAGGCTCTGGGCTGTCCCTCGGAGCTGTTGGGTGGACCACCCACGTGACTTCACCACCATAATAGACAATGAGCTCCAGAACAAGAGTGACGCTTCAGACCTCGGTGGAGCTGCTGCGGGCTCCGCCAGGCACGAGGCTGTCTGTGTTGGGGCTGCGGAGAGGGGCCCCTCCCACCTCCCTCCCCCAACTCTGTGCTCCTCCTTGTAGTCCCTAGGGGCCCACCTCTGCTGGAGACTCTCTGGCCCCGGCACCATGGCTAAACCAGGCAGGGACATGGAAATGAATCGCCTGGTCCAGGATCAGCCACCTGGCCAGGTGGCCTCTGGGCCTGCCCCTCCGAGCCTGGCAGAGCAGCTCCCCAATGTGCCCAGCTACCGTCCCTCAACCACCCGCATCCCCATCCTCATCTCCCGGAGGACGACCTTGTCCAACTCCAGCTTCGCCAAGCAGACCAGGAGCTCCATCCGCCGCCTAGGTAGCGTGAACTTGCCTGCCCAGCGCGTGCTTGTACCCACTCCACGGTGTGCTGCTTCTGCGTGGCTTGTACTGGCTTCCGTCATGGGTGCCGTGGCCGTGGTGTGGAACCACTAGTTGGTCTCATGGAAAGATACCTCCTCTTGCTTTGCTGATCAATGCCTTCATCCTGCTTTGTGGTGGTGACTTGCAGGGATTTTAGTCCTCTTCTTCCCATGCCTGAAATCCCGCAATTAGCAATTCATTCCTTTGGGTTATGCATTGCTTTCTGCACATCATCAATTTTTATATAGGTAGTCACTCACATTCTAGTGTAAACAAGTCATTCAGATCTCCAGGCCAAGAGGCTTGGAGGGTGGGGAATGGAGAGTGAAAGGAGCAGAATAGAAATGTGGGGGCTCACTGCAGACAGAATCTACTGACCTTGAGGGTTTTCTGGGAGCGGGATATTCTGAGAACCATTGATATCTGCCCAATCAATGACATTGTGGGAAAGGAAAGGCCCCCTGGGTGCAGACAGGCAGACTAGGAGGAGAGGCGTCCTCAGGGATCAGTGCAGAGGGAAGGCCAGTCTGGATCCGGTTAATTGTGGTAAGATCCCTGCAGTGGCCTTTGGGTTCCTGCTGCTTCTGTCTGATGACAAAGTGCTCAGGGACATGCTGGCGCCTCTGGGCTGGTCCCTGTCACTTTCTGCTTTAATTCAAGCCAGACCTGCCCACTTTCCCTTTTTGTTTTGTTTGGTTGCTTATTTCCTCCTTTTGGATGACCCCATCCAGTATCAGTCCCGGCAGGCAGAAGTCAACATTTCATGGGAAGACACCCACTGTGGTTCTTCTTTCCTCTTCCTGGCTTGGGGTGGGCATAGAGTGGGGGAGATGGCACACAGATCATCCCCATGACAAGGGATGATATCCCAGGCTCAGCCCTCCAGCAGGCAAGCCCTCCTTTGACTCACTCCAAAGGATTCCCCAACTTCCACCCCCCACCATGCAGCGCTCCCTGATTTTTCCTGTATTCTATACCACCTCTACTTTTATTTGCTCACTATTTTTCTTCAAGGGAGCTCTGGTGGTACAGTGGCTAAGCGCTTGGCTGCTAACCGAAAGGTTGGCGGTTTGAACGCGCTAGTTGCTCTGTGGGAGAAAGATGTGGCAGTCTGCTTCCATAAAGCATTGGAAACCCTATGGGGCAGTTTTACCCTGTCCTATAGGGTTGCTATGAATCGGGATTGACTCGACAGTAGTGGGATTTTTCTTCAATGGATTCACTTTTTTATTTAGTTAGATATATATTTAACCAGGAAACTTGATGTTACCACTGACATGGAGAACCAGTATTGCTTGCCATAAATTGAGGGTAACCCTCACTACAAATACACAGAATACAAAATAGTGTTGTTAGTTTCTAGTGAGGTGGAGGCCTGCTGAAGACCTGCAGCTGAGGCCTGCTCTCCTAGCCAAAAAGGAGAAGGACGAGTCAGAGAGGAGGTAAAGCCGTTAGCACCCCCCTGAGGCTTCCGATCACCCGAGACAGAATTGAAACGGGAGTAATGGTCTCATGCCATGTTCTCCTTTGCCTTGTCTGTACCATCTAAAATCATCTTGTGTTCTCCCTGGTGCCTGGGAAGCCTACACTCAGGGAAATGTTTCTGGTGACATATTGGGACAGTGGACCAATGTGGCTTTATTGTGACACATCACAATTTTAGGTGCTACACACAAGACAATGATAACATGGAGTGAGAACCTTCTTCGCATCTCAGTGGTTCTGCTTGGCACCTCCTGAGCTGGGGTTCATTTTGACAGAGACTCCACCTTTGCTGGCTGCCAGTCTGAGGGCAGGATTTGGAGAATCTGTGTGGCGTGGGGGATAAGAGCATACCCTGGGGATCCAAATCCTGGCTCTGCGCCAAGTTTCTTAACCTCTCTGTGCTTCAGATTTCTTCTCCTCGGAATGGGGACACTGATCACAACTACCCCATTGAGAGGCTGGGAAGGCTGAAAGAGTTCATACAGTGAAAACTGTGAGAGCCGGAACTCGATGGGATTGCCTTGTTTTTCCGGCTCTTGCAAGTTTTCTGCCTTTGATAGGGTGCAGTCTATCACTTTTATATTGCTCTCTATTGGTGGAAAATTTTGAGTTTGCTTTCTCTGACAGGTTTCTGCCTCACACAGGTTCCGGCTTTCACAGGTTTTACTGTGTGAGAGTTTATGTTCATATATATAAAGCAGTTAGAGTTTCATGGAACAAATGTCTGGCAGGCACATAGGAAGTGCTTAACAGTAAATATTATTATTCTCTGAGCCAATTTAATACATGCAATATTACTCTTCATATTTTTAATAATATTATTCTCTAAATCAGTATAATATAAACCAGTATCATTTCTATTTTGAGTTCCCACTCTGCCAAGCTGGTGGGAAATGAAATGTCAGTCTTGGAAGTTTTCGCTCCTCCCTTGGGGGTGATCCAGGTTGTAGGGTCTGGCCCAGGACAAGGCATCTGCCCCTCCCAGGCTCCCTGAGACGTCCTCCTGGATGCTTGAGACCAGCAGGGCCCCACACTGGGGCCCCGAGCATTTTTGAGGGGCGACCCTTGCCTCTGCACCCACTCCCTCCAGCTCAGCTCTCGAGGTCTGCCGGAAAGCAGGGTGAGGTCCCCTCTGCCTCACACTCTCTCCTCCTTCCCACGGCCTGGGGATCTCTGGTTTGTCTGGGCAAACATTCTCCCTTAATTTAAAAAAAAATCCTCGACTCCTACTCATCCTCCCCCCAACCCCCAGGGCTGAGTCAAACACATGCCAAAAAGTCTTGAGGCTGTCTTCTGTTCTTTCCACCCAACTGTAAAAGAAGGTTAAGCAACTCTGCCACCCGCAGGATTTTCCCATGGTGAGCATTTCAGTGCATTTAGAATATATGTCTGTAACCACATCCATATCTATCTATACCGATCTCACACATATCCAATTATTTAAAAATGCTCCCCCCCCATTTTGGAAGGTATACTCCTGCCTTGCTGGTGCCCAATACCTGTGCCCGGCTGCTGTTGGGTGGTCCTGCCCAGGTGTGATGGGGAGCAGGGCGAGGGGGGACCATCCCAGCCCCTCAGCATCCCCTGAGCTTGGCCTTGGGGCAGACCTGTCCCCACAGTCCCTGGAGTGGGTAATGGAGCCCGAGGCAGGGCCATACCCAGGCCCTCCAGGCAGGACCTGACTCTTGGGACATGGGACATAGCATTGGGCCTCTCATAAGTCCAGGGAGGAACTGGGTTAATAAATTTTAGGGGCAGCTGGCATGTATAAAAACAAGGCAATGTCAAAGCAGGTACCCAAACAGAGGGTGTTATAAACGCTAACCTTACAAATGAACACACACTACAAAGACAGTCTGTTATCCTTGATTAGAGGAAACATTCAAATGTCTCGATGCAAGGCGCTTCCAGGCGTGAGGCCGTGCGCCCTCCAGGTCTCTCCCCCACAGGCCTAGGAAGGCATCACCCTGGGAAGGGGAAACTGAGCCTCAGAGAGGGGAGCCAGCTGGTCCAGGGCCACGTGGCTGTGCTGGTCCAGGCCCTCAGGACCCCAGCTCCCCCAGCCTCCCCTTGTCCTGAGTGGTGCCCCTCCATCCCAAGTCCTTAATGTGGTTCCAGGCTCAGGGAATCCAGGCTGGGCTTTGGAGTGCTGGACTCCAGGCAGTGCCCAGGAGCTTCCGTGGCGTCTCGGCTCCTTTCGTGGCTCTTGGGCTGGTGGCTGAGTGGCCGTGATCCTTGGAGGGCTCCGGGAGCTGAACGCCTGCATCCCTTGCATGGAGCTTTCCTGTGGGCCTGTTGGAAGGTGGGGCTGCCGGAGGCCCCTCTGAACATGCTTTTTGTGGCTTTCTGCAAGAGCACAGCAAGGCTCCTGTGCGTTGGCTTTTCCCTCTCTGACCATCTCTTCTCCTTCCTCTCCCCAAGTGCCTGCCACGAAAGAGCACCCAGAGGTGCACGTGGAAGACGCTGATGCAGACAGACTCCCACTCATCGTGGAGGAAAAACCACCCTCGCCCGTCTCGCCGCCACCTTCTCCTGCCAAATCTGACACCTTAACGGTCCTGGGCTCAGCAGTGGGGACCCACAGGTCACCTTTTATGCTTCTCTTGGGTTTTTCATAGCACTGTGATAACATGTCCATTTGACAGATGTGGAGACTGAGGTCAGAGAGGTGAAGCAGCTGGCTCAAGGTCACACAGCAAGTTGGTGTCAGGACTGAGACTATGCTCCCCTCCCTGGTTCTCCTAACTCCTGGTTGAGGGCCCCGTATAAGGAAGCCCTGCCCTGAAAAACCTTGGCTGTAATTTAGAAAGGGCAATAAATGTGATCGGGCTAATTTCTGCCCCCTTTTTAAATTAAATAATACAATGGAAACACCAAAAAAACACTAGAAAAATCATCCCAAACACTAGACAGTGTTTTGTCTTTTTACTGAGCTGTAAGAATTCTTTACGTAGTCTAGATACAAGTCCCTTGTCAGATACATGATTCCCAGGAATTTTCTCCTACTCTGTAGGTTGGCTTTTCATTTTCTTGATGGTATCCTTTGAAGCACTGAAGTTTAAAATTTTGATGAAATGCAATTTATCTTTTGTGTTTCTCAGTAAAGCAATCCGTTATCGCTGTTGAGGAAAACCAAACCAAACCCAGTGCCGTCAAGTTGATTCCAACTCATAGCAACCCTATAAGACAGAGTAGAACTGCCCCATAGTTTCCAAGGAGCACCTGGTGGATTCAAACTGCCGACCTTTTGGTAGCACTTAACCATTAGCCACCAGAGTTTCCACTATTGAGAAGGTGGGTGGGAAAACCAGAGAAGTGAATTAGCCCCTCAGATACTGGTGGAAAATGGTGCCAGAGGCAATATTCCCCTCCCCGCCCCCTCCTCCCACCCCCAGTCAGACTGTCCAGGCTACAGCCTGCTGACCTCAGGCTGTAGTGGGGGTGGGTGGGGGTGGGTGGGGGTGGGTGAGGGAGGTAGAGACAGTTGGACAAGAATCTTTTTGTCTCCAAAATCTGAGTGGACATACTCAAACCATCAACCTAGACACTACTTGATCTCAAATTCAGCAGTCTGTGGCAGACTTGGACTTCCTGAATGATAGGGGACCTTGGGGACAATTGAGTCAGCTTTCTGCAGATAGGGAACCTGGAGCTCCAGGGGGAGGATGGGCCTTGACTGAGGTGGAGATGGGCTGGGGTTTGACTCCATGGCCCACAGGCAGTTTCTCTCCCCCAGGGCTGGTGAGGCTGAGCTCTGAGGACAGTTAACAAGATGGACAATGAGCCTTTAGGCCTTCTCTGGAGGCTGAACACAAAGAAGCGTGTGATAGAAAGGGGGGGGGGCGGCGGGGGGAATGACCTGGGGAGGGGGGACTTTAGACTGAGAGGGGAGAGGAAGGACATTTAAGCTGAGTCCTGACTGAATGGTATCTCATTTCTCTGGGTAGGTTAGCCCCATTTTCTGAGCTGGAAACTGAGGTGGCTCAGAGAGTTTAAGTAACTTGCCCAGGGTCACGTACTGGTAAGGGTCAGGGGTGGGATGCGCACTCAGGTTTGCCTGATACCAAGTCAATGCTGTTAACCTTTGTGCTGCCCCATTGAACAGATGTGGAGACTGAGGTCCAGAGAGTGGCTGTGCCCCTCCCTTCTCCCTTCTCCCTTTTTGTCATAAAGATGATTTACCCTTCAGGCACAGGAGGGCTCTTTGGCAGCAGCCCCGTTTCCACTCGGTAGCAGGGGGTAGGATGCAGAAGATCTGGTTACCTGCAGGGTGAACTGCAGGGGTCAAAGCAGTTTCCTGTCCCCTGGGCCCTGTCCTGGGCTGAAGGCACTGCTACTTCTGTCCCTGCAGGAAGAAGCTGCCCTCCCAAGAGGATGAGGCCGAAGAGCTCAAGGTGCTTTCTCCAGTAGAATCCCCTGTGGTCGCCTGGTCAGACCCCCCCACCCCACAGGGGATGGAGTAAGTGGGGCCACCTTTGGGGTCTCAGGGAGCCAGAAGGCTGGGAAGGGGTGAGTGGGAGAAGGGAGTTATATGTAGGGGGGTAGTGTAGACGGTTTGGAATGCTTCACCACAAGGCAGACTGTGCCCGTGGCTGGGTCTCCTGCTGCTTCTGGTCGGCCTGGAGCCCTGCAAAATCTGCAGAATGGGCAGACTCTGAGTCCAGCTGTGTCCATGGCCAGCAGTGGGTCTGATGTTTCTGATGTCAGAGGAAACAGGGGCAGGTGGAGGCAGACAGTGCCTGGCTCTTGCCCCAGGCACAGGGGTCTCTTCCTGTTCAGCCCATTCAGTTTTGGGTGATAATCTCACAGTGACCAGGACCGCGCCGCCTCCTCGGCCAGCCAGAACAGTGCAATTATCAACAACCGGCTCCAGGAGCTGGTGAAGCTGTTCAAGGAGCGGACAGAGAAGGTCAAGGAGAAGCTCATCGACCCAGATGTCACCTCTGATGAGGAGAGCCCCAAGCCCTGTGAGTCTGAAGTGGGAGGTGGCCTCTCTGGCCGAAGGTAGGGTAAAAGCCCCAAAGCTACCTGTCAACTCATGGTGAGGTGGCCCCAAGGAAACGCCGAGCTGCATGAGATACCCCTGATCTCCACTCTTTGGATTTTGGGTCTTGAACATACAGATCTAAGTGAGGGTGAGGTGAGGTCAAAGTTCAAACCAATGGTCCAGTTGCACTTGACTACCTCTCCTGCAGGGTCGGTCACCTCATTGACCTTTCTGCCTATTTCCCGTTGGCTTGTGGGTGGTGCCATCCTGGGACGACATGTCTCAAGGTCTTATACTCAGTGTCCACAGCCCATCCTGGAACTAGAAAATCTTATTTTTCAGAGGCCTTGGTTTGCAATACTCTTATGGTGCTACATGAAAGTTACCTTACTCTCAAGGTATCAGGAGAGAACCCTCCCTCTCTTGTCAGGGAGGGTTTTCTAGGTCTTCCAGGAGAGGGGCTGTACCTTAGAACTCATGGCCCCCTTGATGGACCTAGCAGGGCCTGACTTTACAGTCCTAAAGGTAGAAACATAGCCATACTGAACCTATGAGAGCCAATCCCTACGTCACCAATAAGTATCATTCTAGATGCATGGGAAACTGTGATCCCATCCAGTCTCTCATTTTAGAGGTGAAGAAGCTGAGATCCTTGCTTCTGGGAAAACTGGAGCATCATTTCCCTGATTTCCACATGCCCTGGGCCCCTTCAACACTCTGACCCCGGGTGGTGGGAACCCTAGGTTCAAAATTCCCCCGGCCCACCAGAGGGAAACAAGGGGGCTCAAACACAGACACATAAGCAGAGGTTGAATTGAAATACCCAGCTTTCTTGGAAGCACCTCATTTTGGGCAGCTCCCGATAAGCAGTTCCAGATTGGTATCTGGTGAGAGTTTCTGGGTGGGCACCCAGGCTGCTGTTGAAGACAGAGCTATGGACTCACTCCAGGGGAGCGCCTTGGTTTCTGCCCACAGAGCTGGCGGTGGGTTGTGGGACGGTGCTGGAATCCCCTCAGCTCCAGTTCCAGGGTCTGTGGTTGGGAGCCTTCTTTCTGCATCTCCTACCTGGGCCTCAGAGCTGGGTCAGGTGGTCACAGTGTCATCCCACAGCCCCAGCCAAGAAAGCCCCTGAGCCGGCCCCAGAGGTGAAGCCGGCTGACGCAGGGCAGGCAGAGGAAGAGCACTACTGTGAAATGCTCTGCTGCAAGTTCAAACGCCGCCCCTGGAAGAAGTACCAGTTTCCCCAGAGCATCGACCCGCTTACAAGTGAGTGCTGGGTAGGGTGGTGCACTGGTTAAGAGCTATGGCTGCTAACCAAAAGGTCGGCACTTCAAATCCACCAGCTGCTTCTTGGAAACCCTATGGGGTAGTTCTACCCTGTCCTATAGGGTTTCTATGAGTCAGAATTGATATGACAGTAACGGGTTTGATTTTTTTTTGGTTTTAATGAGAGGGGGGGCCAGAGAGCAGAATGGTGATGGGAGAGGGACAGGGGGGCATGAGAGGTGGAGCAGAGGTGACAGACGGCCAAGGCTCAGGACCACTTACACTTTTCAAAGTGATCCCACACTTCCTCACCTGATTCTTAAAAAACAAAACAAAATTCTTGGACTAGGAACATAAGTCACACCCATCTTATAGATGAGGACATTAACTGGCCTGAGGACACAACTACTCAGTGGCAGGCCTAGGACTGGAGTCTCCTGACTCTTGGCCAAGTCTTCTTTCAACTCTGCTCAGGCTGGTTCCTTCCTGGAAAGCCTACTCTGAGCAGAAAAGGGCAGAAGTTCTTCAATGTCTAAAGTGAATTCCTCTCACGTGCCTTTAAGCCCATTCCACATTCCTCAGGATAAAACTCCATGTATCTGCACAGCACTTTACAGTTTACAAAGGACTCTCCTACCTCTCTCATCTGACTTTTCCTTGTGACTGCTCTGAGGGGGGCAGGACAGGTGCCAGAGATGCACTTGCCCAAGGTCACACGAAGTCGTTTGGAGGCAGGACTCCAACCCTGTTGTAATGAGATCTGGGGCTTTGAACACCTGTCCACTGGGCCTCTAAAATCACCAAGTAAACTGTAATACCATCATTCATCCTTCTGTCTATTATCTGTCCACCCATCCATCCATCCACCCATCCATCCACCCATCCATCCATCCATCCATCCATCCACCCATCCACCCATCCACCCATCCACCCATCCACCCATCCACCCATCCATCCATCCATCCATCCATCCATCCATCCATCTGTCCACCATGCAATATTTACTATGCTATATTTATTAAGGCAGGGAACACCTTTTTAGAAAAATTTCAACAAAAATGAATTATCTAATAATAGCATCATATTCCCCACCCTCTCTTCAGAGTACTCTGATTTATTAGGACCTAGCAGTGATTTTTTTTTAAACAAAAGTAGTTTTATCCCACCAGCAAAAGTGCCACGTGTAGTGCTTGTAGGAAAGCACAGACAAATGGAAAAGTACGCCTCACCCTGACCCCACCCACGAGGAGCCCCTTCTCCGCTGATATTCTGGCATGTCCTCGCCCCCTCCCTGCCCCACAGACCTGATGTACATCCTGTGGCTGTTCTTCGTGGTGATGGCCTGGAACTGGAACTGCTGGCTGATTCCCGTGCGCTGGGCCTTCCCCTACCAGAGGCCAGACAACGTGCATCTCTGGCTGCTGATGGATTACCTGTGCGACCTCATTTACCTCCTGGACATCACCCTGTTCCAGCTGCGCCTGCAGTTTGTCAAAGGCGGGGACATCATTGTGAGTCACAGGCAGGTGGAAGGGGTGACCGGGGGACAGACCCCGCAGCCACAGCCTCCAGGGGAGTGACCCCTGGTGCTGTGACAGGCAACAAATGAATGAACAGGGAAATCTCAGGAACGTCTGTCTGTGCTTGTTCAACAACACAGCTGCTTATTTTGTGCTCCTTTGATACATCCAAACTGCACACAGCAAGTATTGCTCATTGGCGAAATGGTTCCTGGCCCACCCAGTGGGACTAAAGATGGAGAAGGGGTACAGAGAATGGCCTTCAGTACAGGGGACCTGGTTCAAATTCAAGCTCTACCACCTCTCTGAGCCTCAGTTTCCTCATCTGTAAAACAGGCATAGTAATAGTTACCACCTCATAGCATTGAGAGAGAATTCATTGAGATGATGTATGTAGGGTCTTCAGCTAGGTAACTGCTGGCAATCAGCATTTCCTGGGGGTCCTGCAAAGAACATTCTGAGTTCCAGGTGTCTGCTTCTTGGACCAGTTTGAGGGTCTGTGCTCTGGTCCAGCCCCTATTTTCCAGGGAGGAAACTGGGGCCCTGGCTCTCTGAAGAGGGAGGCACAGACTGGTCTTCTGCGTGGGTCACTTTCCAAACTCCCACACTGGCAGCACCTGCTCTGCCGTGCCCAGGCAAACTGAGGTTTGGCTTCCAAAACAGATTCAAGCAGAGAGGATTCTCTGAGCAACCTCTTTCCTGGCCTGATCAGAGCAGTTGCCCGTTTCTCAGTAAAGAAATTTGCAAAAGGTCACTGAGTGAAGCAGGTCCGGTTAAGGCCCATGCGTTCAGTGGCCTCGTTTTCCACCCAAGAATCTAGCCGGGCTTTGGACAAGTCCCTTCCGGCTCGGGGCTCCATTTCGCCACTTGTAAAACGCGAGGGTTTCGTAGAACCTCATCTGGTCCAGTCTGGCTCCACATCTGTGGGCCTGTTACTCCAACATGAAGACAAGGGGTGGGGGGTTCTGTGGGGATTTCTATCTCTGTTCCCCATAAAGTCAGGAACTCAACTCTAAGGCCATTTCACAGTCACGATCCCATTTTCTTCCAGACGGACAAAAAGGAGATGCGGAAGAACTACCTGAAGTCTCGCCGCTTCAAGGTGTGTGCGAGGACACGCATTTCAGCACCCACGCCAGCCACGAGGGCCCCGGGGCCCGGGAGACGTGGTTCCTGTCACGTGGGGGATGCTGGTCCCATCTCCCATGGGCGTGTGCTCCCGACCCCAGGTCCAGGGCCCCAAGTCCTAGGCCATGGCACAGGCTGGTGGCCCTCTGAGGGCCCGTACTGATGTGTCCATATTCCTCCAGCTCCCCCTACAGGCCACAGAGCCATTGTCCATGGTAATGAAGCTGCCGTTGGGGTTGGAAACATGGGCTTTGAAGCCAAGCAGGTGCTTGTTGGTGGGGTGCCTTCTGCTCGCTAATTCTAGGCCCTGCCTGGGGCATTCTGGCCTTACGTTTCCACTGAAGGTAGAGATCCCCTCCCTCACCCTGCCCCACACACCTGGGGTCACCTGTTTACACACTGTGGTGTCACATTGGGATTCCAGATGGACCTGCTCTGCCTCCTGCCCTTGGACTTTCTCTACCTGAAATTCGGTGTGAACCCCCTCTTTCGCTTGCCCCGATGTTTAAAGGTAAGACTTGATAGCTTGTGGAGAAGTGGTACTCAGAATGGCCTTCAGTCCAGATGGACCTGGTTCAAATCCCAGCTCCACCACAATGAGCTATATTGCCTCTCTGAGCCACAGTTTCCTTGCCTGTAAAATGGGGATAGTAATAGCTCCCACCTCACAGCATTGATGTGATGATTGAGATGATGTCCGTACCAGCTCTGCACCAGCCCTCGCCTCTTGTCAGCAGCACTGGGGAGGGGGCGGCGTCTGTGAGCGGCCTGAGGGGAGATGCTCTGGCTGCACACATGCCCTAGTGGCAAGCTCATTACAATTGCCGGTGCTCTGTGGCCCTGTGTGTTAGGTGTTGTTCCAGGGGCTTTGCAAGCGCTTACTCCTCAGCCCATGAGGTGAGTGCTGTTACTACCACCATCTACACCTAAGGAACAGAGAGGGTAAGTGACTTTCCCAAGGTCACACAGGTAGAAAGGAGTCCAGATTTGAACCCAGCACTCATTCTCCACAGGCTATGCTTTCAGTAATTATAGAGACTCTCAAGAGGGGTTGTTGTTAGCTGTCATTGAATTGCCCCTGACTCATTGCAACCCATGTGTTGCAGAGTAGAACTGCTCCATGAGGTTTTCTTGGCTGTCATCTTTACAGAAGCAGATCACCAGGTCTTTCTTCTGCGGTACTGCTGGCTGGGTTTGAACCACACCAACCTTTAGGATAGCAGCCACTTGTAAAACTGCTTGTACCACCCAGCCTCCTCTCAAGAGAGGGGCCTCTGCTTTAGGATGTTCCCATCTAAAGGACAGAGGAGAGCTTGGGTGACTTGCCCAAGGCCGCAGGATCTAGGAAGCACCCAGGATGTATGTGAACGCACAGCCTGACACCTGGTTCATCATTGATCAGTGCTCGGTGACACATACTGGGCAGAGCAGTGTCCTGGGGAGGGTCTGGCAGGCACAGCGTGGAGCCAAGACCACAGCTATCTGACCAGGGTGGACAGGTGGTTAGAGAACACAGGGTTCCCCAAGTGAATTTTGCTGGCTGACACATTAAATTCATCTCTGTCTCCTTATATGATGCCTCGTCCCAAAAACAGTGATGAGGGAATTTACAAAAGAGGCAAATGCAACAACCTTAATAACCCAGAGGAACAGGGCAGAGAAAAATAGGAGAAATGCAAGTACCACTGAAAAGAGACCACACATTGCTGGAGCTGAGCCCACAAGCTGCTTCTGAGCCTCCCGGCTGTGAGAGGAAGGGGGCTGCAGAGGTTGCCTTTGAGCCAAATGTTGGGGTGAGGAAGGCTGACCCCAGGCCAGGCTCTACCCCAGATGTAGTGGTGGGTCCACGTCTTGGGTCCCTTGGTGGTCCCAGTGGGCGTGTGTGACTCACGGCTCTAACAGCTAGCATGACTCAGAGCATGCAACTCATTGAGCCCAAAGTGAGGACCCAAGGTCGTGGTCCTTCGCATCCAATTTAAACCCTGGACAGAAATTAGAATAAACCCCCAGACAATAGCACTATTTGCAAATGTCAAAAGATGGATACACAGAGATCTAGAGGCAGTGCGGCATAGTGGAAAGAGCTTGCAGTTTTGAGTCAGATCTGGGTTTGAATCCTGGCTCTCTCTGTCACCATCTGTGTGCTTGGGGCAAGTTTCTTTGCTTCCACGAATGCCCATTTCTTCTCTGTTAAAGGAGAATGATAATACCTACCTCATACAGAAATAATAAGGGAAATGTATATGTATAAAGCGCCAGTCATACCCTAGGTGCTCAGTAAAGGAGAGTGGTGATTACTACGCTGGTATTCTTATTATAAAGTCCCTGGGGGGTGCAAATGTTGGTGGTTCAAACTCACCCAGTGGCACCAAGGAAGAAACTCCTGGTGATCTGCTTTCGTAAAGATTGCAGACAAGAAAACCCTGTGGAGCAGTTCTACTCTGTAACACATGGGACTGCTATGAGTCAGAATCGACTTTATGACAGCACGGGGCTTGGTTTGGGTTCAGTGTTATTATTATTATAAATACAACTTTGAAAGATATAGGTGAGCCATGTGAGGGATGCTGTTTCTTTACAAAGTTGTCTTCTTTTTAAAGTAAAACAGGGTCCTTAACCTGGGGCGCATGGGCTTCTCAAAGTTTCCTGATGGGATTCAGAGGGAACAAGAGCCTGTGAAATTCCATGTAAATTGCCAGAACCTGATTATACTGTAAGGGGAGATGCGCTGTGGTTTTCATCAGATTCATAAGTGGGGTTTCTGACCTCTACTCCCCAAAGGGCTAAGGACCTCTGATTTTGAAAGCACACTGTCCAGCCTCCTCCTCCCAGGGGCCATGGAAAGGGCCCTCATTCCCAGCACCCAGGGGAATGGGTCTAGGAGGTGGGGGCAGCTTGCCACCCCACATACAATGGACTGCCCTGATGCCTTGCTCTTCCTCCCAGTACATGGCCTTCTTTGAGTTTAACAACCGCCTGGAAGCCATCCTCAGCAAAGCCTACGTTTACAGGTGAGACGCCCCTACACACACGTACACACATGCATGCATGCACACACACACACAGAGGACATGAGGCTTTTGCAGCAAGAATGGAGCCAGCCATCCTCTCCTCTGTCGATTCCCCTTTCCAGCCCCTGGCCCCCCAGACCTCCTCCCCACCGGAAGCTGGGCCCCTTCCTGGCCTAACCTCCTCTTCTCCAAAAGGATGTTTGTGTTTCAGAGAACCGAGAACATCCCATTTCCCCCAATTGTGATGAGGACACACATAGGTTGACGCACGTGTCCCACCAGCATTTCCAGTGACCTGGGCCTCATTTTGGTCTCAGCCCAAGGAAATGAGCCCCCCAGCCTAGCTCTGCCATAGGGGGAATGGTTGTAAGGGCACAGTGGGCTGTCTCGAAGATATCCAAGGGTGGGACGGAAGACCAGCAGGCTGCACTTGGAGGACAAGGTTGCTCTCCACATCTCTCCTGGGGCAGCACAGCCTCCATCTGCCCCTTCCCTTCTCCTCCTCAAGCATACACTCCCTGCTGGCTTGTCCACTCCCCCAGAACTTGTGCACACCTATGGCTCTGCTACCCTGTGCCAATTCTGGCCCCAAGTCTTGACAACTTTCTACTCAAGTGTCACCATCCCTAACTGGCATAGTCTCAAAAGAGCATCCAATTGTCCCGCCCAATTGGGTCTCATTGGCCAGGTGTCCATCTTGCCAGGCAGCTGGGCAGGGCCATGCAGTTCTCACAGGGGCATCTCTGTGGTGGACGTGGAGGAGGTGATGACAGACTCGTCCTCTGCAGTCCTGACCCCGGGGTGAGATGTCACCACCACCCTTTCTGCTGCTGTGCTCACACCTTTTCCTTCTTGGACAGGGTTATCAGGACCACAGCGTACCTGCTCTACAGTTTACACGTGAACTCATGTCTGTATTACTGGGCTTCGGCCTACCAGGGCCTCGGCTCCACTCACTGGGTTTACGATGGCGTGGGAAACAGGTGAGTCACTGCCTTCCTCTGGGGCCGTGCCTGGGCGACATTCCTGTTCTTTATCATTCACAGTACAAAGGCGTTTCATTGCCGCCATGTTGCTGAGGCTGCCTTGTTCCCAAGGAGTCACTGACATGATGAGGTTCAAGCCTCTGTGCCAGACAGAGGGGTGTACATACATGAACAAGACCCTATAGAAAGATCCTTTCAGCATCTCAAATTCTAGGAGGGTTGGCAAGTGCGCTGCACATCTGTAGCCACTCGTCCACCCCACATGCACAGCTGAGAAGGAATGAACCACAGAATCCTTCTCCACACAGTCTCCCCAGGCATCGCTAACAACCAGGGAGCTGGGAAACAAGGGGGAACCTGTGTGCTCATGCAGAAAGCTACCATACTTATGGGACATGCTGAAATAAGTATGGTGAGGACAATAATAGTAATAATAACAGCAAGCATTGTAGAGTGCTTATATGTACCAATCCTGTTCTAAGCACTTGTGGTAGCAACTCACTTAACCTTAATAGCAATCACATACAAACCAGTTGCCATTGAGTCAATTCTGACTCATGGTGACCCCACGTGTGTCAGAGTAGAACTGTGTTCCATAGGGTTTTTAATGGCTGAGTTTTTGGAAGTAGATCACCAGGTCTTTCTTCTGAGGCACCTCTGGGTGGACTCGCTAGCCTTTCAGTTAGCAGCCAAGTGTGTTAACTGTTTGCATCACCCAGGGACCCCAACAATCACACGAGATGGATACAATTATCATCTCCGTTTTGCAGATGAGGTAAGGGATGTGAAAAGACTTTCCAACGTCACACAGTTCATAAGTTAGCTAGGATTTGAACCCAGGCAGTGTCGGGATGGCTGCAGGGTCTTAACCATTGTCCCATGTGCCTCAATGAAAAAATAAAAAGGTGCCAGCTCGGTGCCCAGTGCTGTGGAAGGGGTGGGGAAGGGGTGTGGGTATGGCCAATTCTTCCTGAGTTAGGAGAGGCTTTTGCTGAAGAGTTATGTTTGATCTTGGCCTTGATAGGTGGAGAGGAGGGGCAGAGAATTCCTGGTGGAGGGAACCTCATGAAGAAAGGCGGGGAGTTATAAAATAATGTGGAACCAAGGAACGGGAACTGCCCTGTGTGGCTAGAGGAGATGGACGTGGTGTGTGGAAGTGTCTGGAAAATAGGTGGGGCCAAGTTCATATGAGAGAGGACTTTGAACCTTACCCTCTGGAGCGGCGCTGTCCAATGAGGTTCCTCAAGAATCCAACATCGTGGTTAATAGTAAAAATAATCGCTTCTGAAGCAGCTGCCATTTGTTGAGTGCCAGGGGCTGGCTTAAGGACCTGAGTTCCTACATATGCTGCATCCTTCATTCTATCCCACAGCTCTCCCGCTCTGGTTCTGTCCAGGTTGGGGCGTGGAGGGCGAGGGAGACACGAGGACCTCAGGGAAGCCCCTAAGAAGTGCCATGCCAGTGGAAGATTCCTCTGACCAGGAAGGGTTTGGGGAAAAGCTGGAGTTTTGTGGACATCCATCCTGAGACTTCTTGTTCCTGGCCCAGGGGCAATAACACACACCTCTAGGAGAGTGATCTAGAGGGTTTGGGGCCCAGCAGTCTGGATAAGGCTACCTTGGGCGCCCTCTGGTGGTTAGGACCAGTATGATTGTGGGCTTGGCTAGGCAGAGGAGGTGCATAGAGACCCAGAGCCCTGTCCAAGGTAGAGCCCCCCCCCCACAGTCCCCAGAAACCTCTGCATCCCCCTTCCAGCCATCAGTGCACATTTACTTGCCTGTCCCCACCAGATGGTGCCCTTCGTGAGGACACTGGCGGGTCCATTCTGTTCCCACTGCAGACACCTGGCAGGCACCGATGATGAAGATACTGACTGACATTCACTGAGGACCCACAATGTTCTAGGCGCTCGTCTAGCACCTTGTCTAGCTCTATTGACATCGCCATTTTACGGAGAAGGAAACTGAGGCCTGGAGAGATTGGATAGTTTGTCCAGGTTATGCAGCTGGAACGAGGCAGAGCTGGGTCTGAGCACAGGCGGTCTGTCCCCAGGGCCCATGTTCTAACCATAGGCTGCATAAATAAGTGGTGAACAGAGGCCAGGGGAGGATGGGTTTGAGGTCATTCTCAGACCGGATGGTTTGCCAGCTGAGGGATGGTCTTGATTTCAGAGTTGAGCAGTGCCCCTGAGTGCATTGGGGGTCAGGGCAGGCTCAGAGGGGGTCCTGTGCAGCCTGGCAGGGAGCAGGAAAGCACAGGAAAGCCGGCCAGGACTGGCCAGTCTTTAGCTCCTGTGTCCACATTCTCTTTTTATCCCTGGGAGGGCACAGCCTGAAGACATGGACAGGTGTATGAGGGACTCTGGCTGCTTTGTGATACTTAGACAACCTTGGGGGCATTTTCTATGCCTTTTGCCACCCTGTGGGACCCCAATACCCATACCCCCTACCCACTGGTTCACTCCCCTCTATTGGGGGGTTACTGACGGTGGGGTGACAGCTCGGAGAAGCAGACAGTGCCTTGGGTTCTAGTTCAGCTCTGAAACTCTCCAGCTGGTGACCGTGGATGCTCCTTTTCCCTTTGGGGCCTCAGTTTCACTGTCTGGAAAATGGGTGGGCAAGAGGGAGGATCAGAAAAGACGATCCCCAAGATATCTTCTAACTTTGAGATTGAGTATCTCCTGGGTTTCCTTGCTTTCCATGAGCCAACGTGATGGTGGCCGCATAGAAAAGATTGTAGAAGTCGAAGGAATAGTTCCTCTTCAAAGGAGGAAGTTGGAAGACTCGTGCCCATCCTACCGACAACAACCTTTCTGAGCAATCGCTCGGAGCTTCACTTTTCATATCTGCCAATAGGAATGACAACATGACCCTGCAGTGTTGGGTCAGAGCCACAATCAAACCAGACAGCATTTACAAACACGCTCCGCGAACTGTTAAGTGTGTGCATGCATGGAGATTGACTTCTGGCCTTTACGAGCTGGCCAGGGTTTTTGCACACATGCACCTATGGGAGGTGTCGCAGCCAGGCCAGCCAAGGTGATGTGATGACCACAGTCCCCTCTCTCTTCTCTCTCCAGTTACATTCGCTGTTACTACTGGGCTGTGAAGACCCTCATTACCATTGGAGGGCTGCCCGACCCGCAGACGCTCTTCGAAATCGTCTTCCAGCTGCTGAACTACTTCACGGGTGTCTTCGCTTTCTCTGTGATGATCGGACAGGTAGCTGGGTCACCAGGCTGGCTTCTCACCTGCCTGCAAAGCCCCTCTCCTGCTGATGCCTGGGGTGTCACCATCTGTGTCCATTCCCTTCAGACTAAGCCTAAGAGTCAGATGCCTGGAGCTCCAGGACCTGCCAGTGAAGGGGGGCACACCCTACTCTAGGTCCCACTGCGAAGGTTCTGAAGCCTCTTCCCATTTGAGACTTCAGCCCCTTTGAGATGTCGGGAAGGCCTGGGTTGAATAGTTTCTGCAAAGGCTGAGGATCTGGCTCCTTTGACGGACCTCCCTGGTGGTTTCTAAGGTGCTGGGGGAGCATCTTGTGTTCCAGTCAGTGCACGAGGTGACAAGCAACAGCCAGGTGTTCTCAGAATTACCTTTGGAGGACTCTGCCCTGAAGGACATTCACCTGGTTCACACATCCTCCAGCGTGGGGCTAGACAGGGGAGCCGCTGGCATCACGAGCCACGTTGTACCAGAACCAGCCCAGCCCAGTGCGGTGTTCCCTCTTTGCATGACCCAAGGGAACCAAGGGCACCAGGGGGACCAGCAGCCTCATTCCTCCCCAACCCACATCCACGCTGGAGGCAGAACATCCCCCGCCAGTAAAACCTTCTCCGTGTGTGGACATGCGAGCATGTTCCCCGGCCTGTGTAAAGTAAACGTGTGTATGGCACATTCACAGAGCCGTTTAATAGCCCTGCGCTCTGACCCGGCAGCTTCCTTGACATCCCCAACCATTTCCCTAGATGAGAGATGTGGTCGGAGCTGCCACCGCGGGACAGACCTACTACCGTAGCTGCATGGACAGCACCGTCAAGTACATGAACTTCTACAAGATCCCCAGGTCCGCGCAGAATCGCGTCAAGACCTGGTACGAGTACACCTGGCACTCCCAAGGCATGCTGGGTAAGACTGGCCTCCTCCCGGCTGCCACCAGCTCTTCCAGCCTGACTCTTGTTGTCCAGCACCCTGCTGTGCTGGTCTCCTCCCTCGCTCATCCTCTGCGCGTCTGGGGACCCGAGGGCTGGGGCTTCTCTTGGCTGTGGCTACAACATTTATGCAAGGGGGTCTAGGGAGGCCTGTAGGGTCCCCTCGAGCCTGGGCCATCACAAGATCCCTGAAGACTTGAAGGGATTGTCTTCTTGATGCCCTGCCCCACCTCAGTTCACTCAGGTTGAATGCATCCCTGTCACAGTGTAATTTAAAACAGGAAAGAAGGAAGACTCCCAATCAATCAATCAGTCTCTCGAAATATATATATTACTTGCTGTTGAGTTGACTCTGACTCATGGCAACCCCTTGTGTGTCAGAGTAGAACTGTGCTCCATAGGGTTTTCAATGGCTGATTTTTCGAAAGTAGATTGCCAGGACTTTCTTCTGAGACACCTCTGGGTGGGCTCGAACTTCCAACCTTTCAGTTAGCAGCCAAGCCATTTGCACCACCCAGGGACACTCTCTCTCTCTATATATATATGTAATCAAAAATTTTTTTGATGTCATAATTTGCTTCTGAAATTATTCTGTTTCAACAACACATTTACTTCACCATTAGCTTTCCTTCCTTAGCAATGGTGGGGTGTGCTCAGTAATTCCTGCAAAGTGGGCAAATCTTACCTGTAAATTGTTTCCAAATGTAGTGACGTTTTCATAGATTTCTCAATTGACGCCTTCAGAAAATGCGAATGTGCTAATTATTTATTTACTTATTTATATTGTTTCCAGTTTTCTTTGTATATTTGGGAGCGAGTCATTTTGTTCCCAGGGCCTGGACATGGTTTTGGAGGCCTCCGGGAAGCCCACAGGCCACTGGCCCTGTACCTTAGACCCGCCCCCTCCCCACAGCCAAACAAAAGGGCCCCACTGCATTGGTGAGACTCCCACACTTCAGCCCTATGGTCTCCTGAACGGGGTGGGGTGGGGGGTGTCGGCAGGTCTGTGGACCGTGACTGTTAGAATCTTCGTCATCATCCATTGCTACTGCAGGTGGCGCTGTGGTTTACAGCGCACGTTGGCAACCATTGCCTTCTTCTGTCCTGTGGTGGCCTTATGACACCTGTGTCATCTCTTTTTACAGAGGAGCACATTAAGAACCAGAGAGGCACCGTCATGCCTACAGTCACGCAGACCCAGAGCTTACCCCACAAATAATAATCATGGGGTGCAATGGGAGGCATCGGAGCTGGGTTAGTGCAGCTGTGCTCAGAACTCTGGGAGCTGAGCTTCCTCCTGAGGACCTGGGCGAATACAGCACCCATTCATCCCAGGGCCGGCCCTCTACCAGGCACGCAGACCCCAGGGTGGGCAAAGCCAATGTAGCACCCACTCTACTGGGCAGCTCTGGTGCCACACGGCCTGGGTGGGGTCCTGATTCCATCCCTCCTGGGCTGAGTGGCCATGGGCAAATCACAGCCCTCACTGAGCCCCCTTTCCTCATCTGTAAAATGGGGATTATAGTCACGTGCACCTTGAGTTACTGTGAAGGTTTAATAAAATAATCTTTGTAAAATACTCTGTAAGACAGTGCCTGGCACATAGCAAGTACTAGATACACAGTACCAGTTGCTGTTGAATCGATTCTGACTCATGGCGACCACATGTGTGTCAGAGTGGAACTGTACTCCACAGGGTGTTCAGTGGTTGATTTTCTGGAAGTAGATTGCCAGGTCTTTCTTTCAAGGCACCTCTGGGTGGATTTGAATCACCAACTTTTCAGTTAGCAGTCAAGCGCATTAACCGTTTGCTCTACCCAGGTACTCCCAGATACATGGTAGCTCTTGCTAATGTCATTCTTAGAGTGTGAGTGGGGAAGACAGAGCATTCCCAGTTGCAGTAAAGGGTATGATAAATGCTACAGTGCAGGGCTACTAACATAGCAGCTGGGGGGGATGTCAAGGGAAGGCTTCCTGGAGGAGGTGACATTTGTGCTGAACCCCCAAAATGGGTAGGAGTTAGGAAAGTGCACAGGAGTGCTCCCGGCAGAGGGAACAGCATCTGCGAAGGGCTGGAGGTGAGACAGGGCACTCTGACCCAGAGGAATTCCATGTGGCAGGATAGTGTGTGCCCAGAGCCGGCCAGCCCAGTGTGCACTCTCGGCCCGGATGGGTGTTAGGGAGGGGGTCTGGCCTTGCCTCTGAAAAGTCCAGGGTCTCATTCGCAGATGAGTCAGAGCTGATGGTGCAGCTTCCGGCCAAGATGAGGCTGGACCTCGCCATCGATGTGAACTATGACATCGTCAGCAAAGTGGCCCTCTTCCAGGTATGGCGCGCCCAGCATCCCATCCCCTCGGGCTCTGGGAGGCCCCAGCCACACCCGCCTTTACACGGGGCTCCTTCCCCTCTTCTCTGGGACAGGGCTGTGACCGGCAGATGATCTTTGACATGCTGAAGAGGCTTCGCTCTGTTGTCTACCTGCCCAACGACTACGTGTGTAAGAAGGTGAGCGGCTGGAGACGACTGTGGATGGGGTCTGGAATTTACAACTCTGTTGCCTTTCAAGGAGCTGGCCTGGAAAGGGTGCCTGTGAAGGGCCCAGGGGAGAGTGGAATTGCTGGGAGGAAAGAGGGCCGCAGCTCCATGTGCTGGTGACCTGACCGAAAGCTCCCAGCGTGGCTGGGATTAGGAGGCTCCGGGCAGTGAACACAGATGTGCCTCACACTTTGCCAAGCATTTCCACAATTCCCTTGGACCTGGGACCATCGAGGTCTGAGACCAGGGCACGCACTTTGCAGAAAAGGAAAATGAGGAGTCTGAAGAGGAGTAGGGCCTTGACTGTGTACGTGAAACTGCTTCTAGGTCTCAGTCTTCCCATCAGGAAAATGGGGCATGAGTAGATCAGAGGTTGCAAACTGATAGCCCTTGTGTACAATCCAGCTCAGACATAGCTCGTGATTTTTTCTTTTTTCTTTTTTTTTGGTTCAATCTTTTTTTTTTAAGTTGAATTAATTTCCAACCTTTAAAAATGGGGAAGTTTCACATAAAAATCCAAATTTCTAGCTTCACTTGAAAACTTAGAAAATCTGCTGATGCTGGGCCCTGTTCTCTCAAATAGCAAGAGTCAGCTGGAGTGGAGGAGGGGCTGCCCCTGAAGGAGGGCATCATGCTTTCTCCTGCTGCCACAGGCCCCACCACTCCCTAATGCCCCACACCAGCCTCCCTTCACTCCTTTACATCACCCACTTGACCTCGGAAAACATTTGGGTTTGATTTCCAAGACTAGACAGTGTCTAGGACCCTTTCTGCTCCCACTCTTTGAGATTCAAGGAGAGATGAAGGTCACTTGTTGAGTAAGTGGTCAGGACCTACAGGAACCCAGATTGCAATCTTCTTGTGCAGTGCAGTAATAAGGCTGGATGTGTGTGTAGGGGTGAAAATATTGCTCAAGCAACCCCTGTAAGACTCAGGAACCCTGCTAGCCTCAAGAAGACCCCTGTGTCCAGGTTGCGTGCTGTGCAGCAGTGAAGTTTCTGAAAGCAGACAGCCAGGGAAAGAATGGAAGGGGAAGCTGCAGATGGCCGAGAATTTAAATCTGCAGCCTTAGAGGCTAAGACGGGTTTGGCAGCAGTACAGTGATTTGTCTGACGTTGGAGTCACTTCCTAGATGTGCAGCGTTGGGCAAGTGGCTTGCCCTCTCTGAGTCTCCATCTTCTCTTTGGTAAAGTGAGGATATTGACAGTACTTCCCTCATGGGGTGGTTGCGAGAATTGAATAAGATGTACATACAGAGTTTGGCACTGTGCCTAGAACAGAGTAGGCGCAATTGTGTTGCTATTATCCTTGCGGGTAATGTAGAAATTGCTTTAGATGAGAAAAAATTAATCAGGTTGCTGGGGTCCTTTGCAATGAAAAGTGGAATTGAGTCCTTAGTGTGTCTTCTGAACAGTGCCCTCTGCTGGCCAGTTTTGCTCTGCGCCTATCTCGCTAAGACCCTGGAGCCACTCTGGGGCTGCTGAATGGAAGTGAGGGTGAACTCCTTATATTCCTTACGCTTGGGCCACATTTCTAACATTGGACATGGAAACAGGGAAATGAAACTTTCTTCCTCTTTGTTGTGAGGACGTGTGACATGCCCAGGAAATTTTGTTGAATGAATTGAAAGTGTAACCTAGTTGCCTGTCCTTGATCTTAGCCCTTTAAACGTGCCAGGTGTGTTGACGGGCAGTGGGCCAGGGCAGAGGCCCATTAGGGCGTGAGCACTGGAAGGTCCGTGGCCAACTTCGCATGTCTGATTGCAGTCCAAAGCAAGCTATGCGTTCCGTCCTTCATTCATCCATCTGGTTTAACTTAGGGTTGAGAGAGGAGCCCTGGTGGCACAACGGTTAAATGCTCAGCTGCTAGCTGAAAGGTTGGCAGTTCGAACCCACCCAGTGGCTCTGTGCGAGAAAGACCTGGCAATCTGTCTCTGTAAAGATTACAGCCAAGAAGACCTTATGGGGCAGGTCTACTCTGTTACACGGGGAAGTGACCTGGCAGCTCCTAACAACCACAGGGTTGAGAGTAGGAGCACCAGAACCAGATTTTCTGCCTGGGTCAGCCTCCGCCTAGCTTTGTGACCTTGGGCAAAGGGTTCCTGCCTCCAAGGGTTGTTGAGGATTAAGTAAATTCAACCACACAAAGCACTGAGAACTGTGCCTGGCCCAGAAAAACACCATTTAAGTGTTGGACAACATTATTGTTGTTGCTAGTTGTTATTACCATTCTTATCTCAGTTAGCAAATACTTCCTGAACTCCTGATACGAGTTAGGCATGAATAAGAGTTTGTCGTGTGGACTGCTGAGCCCTCCATCCGTGTGTATGCTTGGGAACCGGCAGGATACTGTTACACCCGCGCCTCCCAGCTTCCCTAACATTTTCCTTCCACGACACCACTCACTCCTCATTATAAACCTGTCAGTTAGGCAGGGCAGGGCGTGATCACTCTCCCCAACCCACAGATGAGGAGACTGAGGCCACGAGGGGAAGTGACTGGTTCCTCACCACACGTCAGGTCGGTGGCAGGGCCAGGACCAGACCCAGGCTCCTCTGTGCTGCGGGGTCAGCCCTTGCTGCTTCTCTATGTGGGGGTGGGCAGAGGAATTGGCCCCCCTCTCTGTTCCAGGGGGAGATCGGCCGTGAGATGTACATCATCCAGGCGGGCCAGGTGCAGGTCTTGGGCGGCCCTGATGGGAAGTCTGTGCTGGTGGTGCTGAAGGCTGGATCCGTGTTTGGAGAAATAAGGTCAGACAGGAGGGGTGACGTGAGGGGAGCTGGGCAAAGGCTGGGAAGGAGCAGTGACATGTGGGGGTGTGGACACTGACACCCGGTGTCAGACGCGGTGACACCAAAATAACTGTCTATAAAATTATTGTGGAATGTTTCAGCAGAAATTTATTATTTTTTATGAAAATATCCCTGCAGTTAGTTATAACAACAAGAACATTTTTCATAAGCCCAGCTTGCATGTATCAATATACCAACAAGGCTAAAACTCTATGCTAATTTACGTTTTGAACCTTCTAATGCCCCTCAGTCAGAGCTGTCCTTATTACCCAGTTATAATGATGCTTCATCAAATCACGTGGTTTCATCTGCATGGGCTACAAGCACTTGCTGTTGTTTTCATTGCTGCCAGTGTTTTTATAGTCACTGATTTTGTCAAATTTTCTGGAGTTTTAGCTGCATTATTGTGGTAATTAGTATTTGTGTATCTGTATCAATAACTTTTTTGAGAATGAAGTAGTAATTAAAGGAAAAGAAGGAGTGAAATACAGAAATTACAATTTACGAGTAGCATTAGTACAAAAACATTAGTAAGGATTCTGTATGGTCTGGTATGGGAGGAGGTCCGTGGGTGTGGGGGTGACACCATGACTTACCACACTGGGTGGCCCAACCCTAGTGACGCCACTGGGAAGGAGGGTAGGGGAAATGGTCAGGGGGCAAGCCCACGTCCTTGAGAGCTGCTTTGGTGGGTCCGAGCGCCCTGCTATGAGTGCAACCCAGGACGTGTGGACATATGCAGGGTGGGCCAGGCTGTCAGATGCATGGGCCACCATTGCACTCAACGCAGGGGGGAAGATGAAGATTTTAATACCACCAAAACCAAAGTCTCCAGATGGTCTCATCTCCCTCCCTTCTCTGCCTCAGCTTGCTGGCTGTTGGGGGCGGGAATCGGCGCACGGCCAACGTGGTGGCCCACGGGTTTACCAACCTCTTCATCCTGGATAAGAAGGACCTGCATGAAATTTTGGTGCATTATCCTGAGTCTCAGAAGTTACTCCGGAAGAAGGCCAGGTACATAAAATTTTTTTTTCATTAAAAAAGTCCATATATTCCTCTGTGTGTGTTTCCTAAGAAAAAGGATTTTCTCTTATAGAACCACAGTGCTTTTATCAAAATCAAAATATTCAATATTGAGACAATACTATTATCTCATCCATAGTCCATGTTCAAATTTCGCTAGTTGTCCCGATAATGGCTTTTATAGCTTTTCTTTTCTTTTTTTCCACTCCTGGATCAAATCTAAGCCCACACATGGCATAAAGTTGCTGTGATCTTTGATCTCCCTTAATCTGGGATAGTTCCTCAGCCTTTTCCTATCTTTAATGGCTTTGGCTTCTTTGAAGAGCAAACCAGTGGCTGTCGAGTCAGCTCTGACTCATGGCGATCCCATGCATGTCAGAATAGAACTGTGCGCCATAGGGTTTTCAATGGCTGATTTTTTGAAAGCAGATCACCAGACCTTTCTTCCAAGGTGCCTCTGGATGGACTAGAACCACCAACCTTTTGGTTTGCACCACCCGGGGACTCCAGGGAAGCCACTGGGTCCTTCAAAAGGCCATTCATTCGAGCTTTTCCCACAAAATCTGCCCATTTTCCCCAGCCATGTCAGCTCTGGGTGCCGATCCCTACTCCTCCGAGGGAGAGGGAAGTATATGTCTGAGAACTGGCACCAGGCTCCCTGACTCTCTCTCCCTCCTCCCCGCGAGAGGAGCAAGGTTCAGGAGAGCCACCCTGGTAACGGTCATCCCATCCCTCTGACTCTGAGGGTCTGGCAGATCAGCTGGGGTCCCGCAGAAGCCTCCCAAGAGCAGTGCAGCAGCCCCTGCTCCTCCGCAGTGCCTGTGGTGAGCCTGCGCCCCCTGGAGGAGGCTGGGAGGCTGGGGGAGGCAGCCAGAGAACGTGGGGGCTGATGGGTCCTGGCAGGCGCAGGACGCCCTGGGCTGGAGGATGTGGTGTAACTCTTCAGAGTGACCGGCTCTCTAGACAGATGAGCTTGAGGAGAGAGGCGGGGATCTCATTCGTGCTCTCCCTGTCTCTGAGAGCCACGGGTCCCAGGATGTCTGCGTTGGTGAGAGCCACCCGTGAGATTCTGTCCAAGCTCCCCGTTCTACAGAGAGGTTACCCGAGGCCCCAAAGCAGTGAAGTGCTCACGTTTCTGGCTTGCCACTCCAAGAGATGGGGTTGAAACTGGTGAAAATGTCAGTCTCTCCTGGGACGAATTTAAGAAAAGCCAGACCCATTGTCATTGAGTCAATTCCGAATCATGGCGACCCCATGTGTTACAGAGGAGAACTACTCCATAGGTTTTTCTTGGCTGTAATCTTTATGGAAGCAGATTGCCAGGCCTTTCTTTCATGGAGCCACTGGGTGGGTTCGAACCAATAACCTTTCGGTTAGCAGCCCATCACAAACTGTTTGTACCACCTGGGGTGAATGCTTAATCCTAATTATAGGGCTAAGCGTCATCTGAAAACAAGGATGGATTTTTTTTAATCTGGAAATGTCACAGGAGCCTGCTCAATGCTTCAAAACAGAGCGAGCCATTAGCGGTCTGTGAGGGTCCTCTAGACTGCTTTTGTGTCACTTCAGTACCAAGCTGAGCCTTCCCGGGAACTGTCATGCTGTGAATTATGGACTCAAATAACACAGGTGACAGTGCCAGGCATGTAAGAAGCCTCTGATGAATTATCATGTTTATGTTCCCCTGTGGGAGTCTCAGCTAGAGAAGGCAAGTCTTTGGCAATTAATATCAATACGCACAATTTAAACCCATTGCCTCTGATTAGATAAGCAGCCAGTAATGGCCTCATTTTTAAACAAACAAGTTGCGCTGGAGCCCTGATGAATGGATTTGCCAATTAGCAGTCTGGGCCCACTAGACTGCCTGCGAAGTGCATTTGTTCTTGAGCCAAACCACTCATCACATGAGAAAATTCCGTGAAAAATTCCTTGTCAAAGCCAGGGCTCTGTTTGATGGAAAAGTCTATCCTCATTTAGAGATACGGGGTGGCGCAATGCATTTAGAAGAGCTGGGTTGTGACTTTGCCTCTGTCACTTCCTAAAAACATTGCGCATGTCACTCTGTCCACTCTGAGTCTCAGTTTCCGCAACTGTCATAGGCATAATAATCACAGCTCTCCTCTTCTCAAGGGCTGCTGTCAGCTTCCAAGAAGATAATGACCATGGTGTTGTCATCAGTAAGGTCTGGGGCACTGGGGTCAGAGGCATGGATTTGAATTCCCTTCTGCCACTTCCTAGCTGTGTGGCCTTGGGCAGGTTGCTCACCCTCTCTGGACCTCCGTATCTTCGTTTGGAAATGAAAGCAAATAATAAGACCTACCTGTGAGGGTTGTACCCATTGCCATTGAGTTGATTCCACTCATGGCGACCCCATAGGTGTCAGAGTAGAACTGTGCTCCATAGGGTTTCCAATGGCTGATCTTCTAGGAGCAGACTAACAGGACTTTCTTCCGAGGCACTTCTGAGTATACTTGAATCTCCAGCCTTTTGGTTAGCTGCTGAACGTGTTCACCATTTGAACCACCCAGGGACTCCATGAAGGTTGTAGTGAGGCTGAAATGAGAAAGTGTTAGTTATCTATTGCTACGTGACAATATCGCCACAAACTTAGCAACTTAAAACAGCACACATTTCTTATCTCAGATTTTGTGTGAGTCAGGAGTCTGAGGGTGGCTTAGCTGGGTCCTCTGCAAGGCTGGAATCCAGGTGTCAGCCAGAGCTGGCTCTCATGTCAAGTCTCAGCTTGGGAAGGACCCGCTTCCAAGCCTACGCAGTCGTGGGCTGCATTGTTTCTTGCAGCTGTAGAGCTGATGGCCTCAGTTTCTCACTGACTGTGACGGAGGGACCCTCGGTTCCCATGTAGTTGCTGGCAGTGGCCGCCCTGTCTCCTCCCATGTTGGCTTCATCCAAGCCACAAGGGGAGAGAGTCTCCTTGTAAGACGAGGTCATGATCCTAGGTATGGTAATCACGGAAGTGACTTCTCATCTTCCTTGCTTTACTCTATTGGTTAAAAGCAAGTCACAGGTCCTGCCCACCCTCAAAGCGAGGGCGGTCACACAGGGAGGCGAACGGTAGGAGGTGGTAATCACAGGGCCACTTTAGGGTCTGTCCACCACAGAGTGAAGTCCCGAGCACAGGCCCTGACACATATAGACAATACGTGCTGGCGATGTTGATGGTGATGACGGTGAAGCAGCGATGACGCAGAAGAAGGAGAAGCAAACAGCTTTGGGTCCTAGTTTTTCATTTAGGTATGCTATTTCTGGAGTCCCTGGGTGGTACAAATCATTAATGTGCTCAGCTGCTAACCAAAAGTTTGGAGGTTTGAGTCCACCCAGAGGTGGCTCAGAAGAAAGCCCTGGCAATCCAGTTCCAAAAAATCAGCCATTGAAAACCCTTTGTAGCACAGTTCTACTCTGGCACACATGGGGTCACCACACGTTGGAGATGACTCAATAGCAACCAGTATGCTATTTCTGATCCCATGTATTAACATGTCCTCCAGTGTTTCTGAACTGTGTGAGGTCAGACAAGTTACTCAACCCCTCTGACCCTCAGTTCCCTCTCTATAACGTACAGACGGTAAGATGCATGTCATCATGGTTGTTCTGCTCATTCAGCGAGATGCTACGTGTTAAGTACTTAGCACTGTGCTTGATAGAGAAAAAGCACTCAAAAATCATTAGCCACAAACCACCTCGACCACACAACTCCAACTTAAAAGTTCCACACAAATGAGCCTTTCTTCTCTCCCAGAGAGGGCTTGTGATGTAAGCGGGTGCTGCTTTCTTTCAGGCGCATGCTGAGAAACAACAAGCCCAAGGAGCAGAAGAGCGTGCTCATCCTTCCCCCCAGGGCGGGCACCCCCAAGCTCTTCAATGCTGCGCTAGCTGCTGCAGGAAAGCTGGGCGCCAAGGGGGCAAAAGGCGGCAAGCTTGCCCACCTCAGGGCTCGGCTCAAAGAACTGGCGGTGCTGGAGGCAGCGGCAAAACAGCAACAGTTGCTGGAACAGGTAATGCAGTCGGGAACCCAGCCATCCCGTGCATTTCTGCTACGTGCCCGGGAGAAAGCAAGGGGCCTCAGAGATAGACCACACATTTAGTTTTAGGGTTTTATCTTTTTTTCCTCCTTCTTTAGATCAGCCAGGATTCATTTGGTTGCAAGCGGCAGAAATGCAAGCGACAGAGTACAAGCTCAAAGTGGCTTAAGAAAACAGGGAATTTATTGGGTCAAGTAATTAAAAAGTTCAGGCAAGACCGGATTCAGGGACCCAAAGGATGCCAGCAAGACTCGTTTCCTCATTCTCTCATCTCTGCTTTCCTCGGTGATGCTCATTCCCAGGCAGGCTCCCAAGCGCTCTAGGATTACATCCTCCTAGTTTAGCAACTCCAGCAGAAAGAACTTTCTCATTGATTCTAGCAAAAGTCCCAGGGCTCACTGTCATTGGACAGAATTGGGTCACATGCCAATTCCTGACCCAATCACTGTGGCTAGGGGGATGCAGTGCTCTGGAGAGGTCTGGGTCACGTGCTCACCCCCAGACTGACAGTGGGGGAGGGGCGGCTCCTCAGAGGGAAGGCCTGGTGCTGCTGCAGCATAGGAGGAGTGAGTGTGAGCAGGGCACAGCTCTCCCCAGATGACACTGACATTGTCGTATTTAATACTGTGTTGGTGACAATTTAAAAGATTTGAAAGGCAAAACCCTGCAGACAGGCACAGTGCCAACTGTTCCCACCCCAGTAAATCTAAAGGGAATTTTAAAATTAATTTTGGGTTTTTTTTTCTGTGACTAAAGCCAGGAATGCCAATTAGAATGATGGCACTAATTATAGCTGTTCATGACTGTCCTTCAGGGAGCCTGCTGGGAAGGGGGGTCTGGGATTGGGCAGGATGAACTCAGTCTCAATACAGGCCGGTGTCAGAGCCCAGGGGACCTATCCAGGGGGCATTTGACAGCAGGAGTCTGGTGAGTGACATCAAAGCCACCAGAGGTCCCCAGACATTCTCCAGGCACAGCCACTGATGGCCCTGCTGAGGAAAGACATGACTGCCTGGCTCACAGCGTGCCAAGGGCAAGGTCAAGCCAGTTACATGAAGTCTTTGGTGCTGGCTGCTGAGAGGGGCTGGGAAATTCAGAGAGTGGACATGACTCTGGCATGGACTCCAAGAACGTTCTCAGTACAGAGAAAGGCTTTATCTGACACGGGGCTTGTGGCTCCTGGGTGTTAGCTATTGTCACCGAGGCAGCTTGAGATGTGAATTAAATTTGCACGAGTGTTGCGATAAAAGGTGATGTAATTCAGAATAACTAGGCTAGAATGGCAGAGTGCAAGGAGCTCTTAAATACAAGTCCAAAGACCTATGTCCAAATCCTGGGTCTGTCACTCACCAGCTCCATGACCCCAGGGAAGCTCGTCATGGTTTCTGAGACCCGGAATGCTATATGGATGTCACGTGGAGTTGGAAAGATCAAGTAGGAGAACATTTGTAAAAGCATTTTGAACATGGTGGAGAATTTCCCATGATTCTCTGGTTCCACGCATAGCCTGATGCTTTGAGGGCACCACCTGGCATCCTCCCCTGGAAGTGGGTGGTCAGAGTTTAGAGTGGACAGAGGAGGGTGGAGCAGCTGCTCCAAAAGATGCCAAAATACTGAGACAGAGAGAGTAACAGGTTCCCAGAGCTTTGTTGGGTTCTAGAAACTTCTTTGCTCCCCGCTCTCTGCTTCCTTCCTTCAACATTCCATGACTTGAGAAAATTTCCTCACAAGCACTCTGACTGCTCCGTTTAAATTCACTCCCATCACCTCAAGTGGGGCTTGGGCAGCTGAGGACCACATGGACCTCCTTCTCTAGGGGCCACTTCTCTCTCCAGGTTCTTTCTGTGTGGAGATGTAGCCAGACAGAGCAAGGGGGGCCGCGAGTGTCCACAAAGGCTTGGATTTTACCCAATTCCCTCCTGATACACAGACCATGGCCAAAGTCTATGGAGGCACCACAAACAGTTGTTGTTAGGTGCCTTCGAGTGAATTCCGTTTACAGCGACCCTATGCACAACAGAACGAAACACTGCCTGGTCCTGCACCATCCTCACAATTGTTGCTATGCCTGAGCCCACTGTTGCAGCCACTGTGTCAATCCATTTCCTTGAGGGTCTTCCTCTTCTTCGCTGACCCTCTCCCAAGCATGATGTTCTTCTCCAGGGACTGATCCCTCCTGAAAACATGTCCAAAGTATGTGAGACATAGTCTTGCCATCCTTGCTTCTAAGGAGCATTCTGGTTGGACTTCTTCCAAGACAGATTTGTTCTTTCTTTTGGCAGTCCATGGTATATTCAGTATTCTTCGCCAACACCACAATTCAAAGGTGTCAATTCGTCTTTGGGCTTCCTTAGTCATTGTCCAGTTTTCACATGCATATGAGGCAATTGAAAACACCATGGCTTGGGTCAGGTGCACCTTAGTCCTCAAGGTGACATCTTTGCTGTTCAACACTTTAAAGCGGACTTCTGCAGCTGATTTGCCCAATGCAATCTGTCTTTTGATTTCTTGACTGCTCCTTCTGGGTGTTGATTGTGGATCCAAGTAAAATGAAATCCTTGACAACTTCAATCTTTTCTCCATTTATCATGATGTTGCTTATTGGTCCAGTTG